TTCCTTTTCCTTTTCCTTTTCCTTTTCCTTTTCCTTTTCCTTTTCCTCCTCCTCCTCCTCCTCCTCCTTCTCCTTCTCCTCCTTCTCCTTCTCCTTCTCCTTCTCCTCCTTCCCTTTCCCCTTCCCACTGCTACCTTCTCATTTCCCCCTGTCTGGAGGGAGGGTGACAGCAGGACCCCCCCGCAGCCCCCGGCAGGACTCGGGGTGCTCTGGGGCTCCCCCTGGCCCTGTTTTCCCCGCTCCGGGCGTTGCGGCTGAGCCCGTCCCCCTCCCCGCTCAGCCCGGACCGTGTCCCTCCCTTTGCACACAGTGACTCAAAGCCCAGGCTCGCCCCAGTGTCCCTCCAGTTGCCCCAGTGCCTGGGGAACTGGTTTGCTGCGGGGAGGACCCTCCCCAGCGCTGACTAAACCCTCCCCGGTGGTGCAAAGGGACGTAGAAGGGAGATCCCGCTCCCCGCAGCCAGCTGGCTCGGCTGGTTTGGCACGTACACATGCTTGCACATGCTTACACATGCTAAACACACGCATGCACACACAGTAACAAACACATCAACACACTGCAGTACATCCTGGGGCCGCCAGGACCCCCCATTGCTGCTCGCGGGAGCCCACAGGGGGAGGACCCACGGGAGGGATGCAGGGGCCGGATCCTGCTCCTATGCTGGAGCCACGGGGATGGGCAGCCAGTCCCCTCACGGGTGCTCAGCAGCTCTTGGGGTCCCCACGAAGGGCACTGGAGGGGGCCCAGGGCTCTGCCAAAACCCGGCAGAGCGAGCTCGGCTCCGCCTGTTTCCCCAGCACGTGAGCGGTGTCACCCAGAGCTGGGTGGCCCCGGGCGACCCAACCGGAGCTGAACTGTGGCCACCTGCGCCGGGCTGGCGGTGGCCAGGGAGGCTCCTGGGCTGGGCCGGCAGCCGGGAGTGGTGGCCCCGGGGTGAGGCTGGCACCGCAGCGGGCTCCCGCGGGGCTGGGGAGGAGTGGGAGGGCAGGGAGAGGATGCAGGGCGGGTGTCGGCTCTGCTGCGCTCCGAGCCCTGCCGGGACAGGGCTCTGTGCCCCGGGGTCAGGTCTCCTGTGGTGGCCCACGGCTACTGTGACCTCCATGCCACCCCCAAGCCACTGTGAAGTCCCTCGAGAGCCCCAGCTCCCTGAGACCTGGGAGACCTCCCTGCATTAGGAGCCTCCCGGGAACGTCCTGCGGTGCTGGGGGCTCCATGTGGGACCCCCACGATTAATCCGGGTGCAATCACAGCCCTGGGGAGCCCCAGCCCCTCACCACAGTGTGTTGGGACCCTGCCAGCCCCACGGCCCGAGCCATGGTGGGGCCACCGTGATGGCTGGAGATGCAGTGACAAAGCTGGTCACTGAGGTCCCCTCTGAGGGACCATCGCCCTCGCCGAGGTGGGTGGCTAGACAGGGGTCCGGGGGGCCCAGAGCCACCCAGGCTGGCTGTGCTCCCTCCCGGCGCTGCTGAGTCGGAGGAAACAGAGGAGCTGGGTGCTGGGAACCAGCCTGACCGGCTCCCCGGCTGTCAGCACCTGAGGAATGCCAAACCTCCGCTGCGCCAGGGCTGGGTGCTCAGGGCTGGGTGCTCAGGGTGACTCTGCCGGTCCGCCCAGCTGTGGGGCGTGCAGGGAGCAGCACCCGATCCCGCTCGGCACGGCACGGCACGGCACGGCACAGCACCCCGCTTGCCACGGCGGGACCCTCGGCCAGCAGGTACAGGGGGGTGCAGGCTGGGGGGCCCCTGGGCAAAGGTGCTGCCCGGGCTGGCCCCACTTGCATGGGTGCTGGCGGGGAGGGGGGTTCCGCGCTGCTGGGAGAGGAGGGCACCGGTTCTCCCGTCCCGCTGCCAACTGCAAGGGCTGCCCCGGTGCTTGGACCTGTGCCCCGGTTTGGCAGGCGCTGGGATGGGTCCCTCCTCCCCTGCCGGGATCAGCACTGGCCAGGGAGGAGGGATGGGGCCAGGAGGTGGGGGCTGAGCCCAGCTCGGCTCCTCTCGCCTTTAGTCCCTGAATCTGGGGGGCTGCCGGGGTTGTAATCCTGCTCCTGCCACCAAAGTGCGTTCCAGGAGGCAACGGAGTGAGCTGGGGCTCCTCCGCCTCTGGTGACCTCACGACCTGGGCTGAGGGGACAGCGGGGCTCCCCTGTCACCTCTGTCCCCCTCCTCCATGTGGCACGTGGCTGCCCGTGACACGGCTCAGCTGGGGGAGGCAGGGGCACCGAGGGGAGACGGTGGTTCCCTGCCCTCCCCGTGAACCTCAGCCCGTGCAGCAGCCACCCAACCCATATCCCTGATTCTCCTGAAGGCGGCAGGTCCGCTCTCACCCCGCGGTGACAGGGCTCAGCCCAACGTGGCCGGAGGCTCGGCTTAATCCGTGGTCACCGGCTCAAAGGCAGCCGCAGCTGCCGCCCTCAGCCCCCCCGTCTCTTCTGAATATTAAACGGCGCCTCGTGCCTTTGACTTGGGTGCTGGGAGACCTGGGATGGGTGCTGGGAGACCCTTCGGGATGACAGGAGGCAGCAAACGAGCTCAGCAGGTTGGCTTGGCTTGGCCAGGGGGGATTAATTAGCCATGCCAGGTGCCCCGGTGTGGCAACACCACTGGATCCAGCGTGGCATGTCCGGGCGGGCAGGGATGGCCGGCAGGAGTAGCTGGGAAACTGCAGGGTCTTGTCCTCGTGTCCTTCTGCCCTCCTCTTCTCATGTCCCTGTGTCCTTGACCCACCACTGCAGTAGGAATTATTTCAGCAGAAAATGGGGTGCTGGGGCAGAGCAGGGCTCTGGGTGACCTCCTTTCCCAGGGCCCGTGGGGCATCGAGTGGCCCAGGGTGGCACCAAGTGCTGGATCCAGCTGCAGGGCTGGGATGGGAATGACAGACCTGGAGTTCTTGGGAAAGAGAGACCTGGAAATCTTTGGAAATCCAGCTCCAGGTGAGAGGCAGGATGCTGAGTCAACACCTCCTGCCTTCCCCTAGCACCCTGGTGCTGCACGGAGACAGCATCACTGTCCTGGTGCCATCCTGGGGCCACGGGCATGGCAGCTGTTCCTCTCCACTGCCAGTGCACCCAATTCCTCTTTCACTGCTGAATGCCATGACCCTGGGGATCCAGCTTTGGCCCTGGGGATCCAGCTGTGGCTCTGGGGATCCAGCTGTGGCTTTGCCCACACAGATATGTGGCCCCACCCAGGCTGGTCCCAGCCTCGAGCAGTGCTGGCTGTCCCAGACAAGGTCTCATCACCTTCCGGAAAAATGACACAAACTCTTCCTATCTGTACTGGAAAGACCTGCCAGGCCAGAGAGAGCAGGATCTGGAGGGCGCGTGGCAGGCTGGCAGAAGGGGCAGGCAGCTGCCTGCACCCGGCACTTCCCTCTCCGCTCCCAGTCCCCCAATCCCCTTAGGGACTGGGAAAGCCCAACCTGCCACCATTGGATGGATCCCATCCAGCTGGTGCAGGATAAGGCCCTCTCCAGAGGTGTCCCCCATGGAAACCTGCCCTGGAGCTGTGCAGGGAGGTGTCCCCATTCCCAGATGGGGACCTCAATTGCAGCCTGTCCTCGGGCTGACCCCAGAGCCTCATCCCTGCCACTGTCCCTGTAGCTGGGCGGTGACACCAAAACAGCTCCTAATTGGGAGATGCTGGGACGTGGATGCACTTCCAGCTCCCTCCCCAGCACCTGCTGCGTCAGCTGCTTCCCAATCCCAAACCCAGCAATAAAACCCTTCTGGGTCAAGGACGCAGCCACAGCAAAGCCTCCATCAGCATCCCCCTGAGCTGAGGTGGCACAGGTGTCCCTGTCCCCTGCCCTGCGTCCCGGGGACCATATCAATGCCCACCCTGCAGCACCCACACCAGGGCATGGAGCTGAGTGCTGGGGACCAGCCTGGATCAGTGAGTGAGTGCTGGGTGGCCATCCCAGCTCGTTTCCTCGTGCTGATGGGGCTGCTGATGGAGCCATCTCACCTTTGCCACACAGCCACAGGGAAAGGCCAAGGGATGATGCTGCTCAGGTCCCCACCTCTGCCTGAGAATCCTGCGGCTGCCCCATCCCTGCTCTCGATCCCAGCCAGGCCCTTTGCCCCACGGAGCGGCTTCCCTGTTGTTTTTTGGGCTTGTTTGTTTGCTGCATTTGCTGACTCGGCGCAGCCCTGCTGCCCGCCTGACTCATCCCTCAGCTTGGGGCACGGCACAGCTCGGGGCACGGCCTGGCCCGGCCGCATCCTGCACACTCACCTGCGCCGTGCCGGGCTCTGCCAGAGCCCACCATGACACAGAGCAGAGCTCCCACCATCCCTGCTGGACACAGCAGCGTTGGCACGGGCAGGCAGAGGGACCCACAGTGCCCTGCACATGCCAGGATGGGTGACTTGAGCACCCCAAGATGCCTCAAACGTGCTCATGGGATCCCCCCCGAAGTGCCCTAAAGGATCAGAGGGAGGTCTATGGGGTTTGAGGGTCTGGTTTGGGGTCCAGGGCTGGTCCCCGCGGGGTGGTTCTGCTCAGCTCTCCCAGGGTCTCCTTCTGTCCCTGCAGCTCCACCAGCCCCAGCGTGGCAGCCGCGGGGGCTGAGCCCGGCAGAGAGGGGTGTTACAGGGCCACGGCATTCCCTCTGCAGCCCCCCCGCATGGATCCACCGTTCCGGCACACCAAGAGCAGGGGCTTCGTCTCCAGCGCGGAGCTGAGCATGAAGCAGGCGGCCGGTGCTCCGGGGCCCGAGGGCAGGTCCCGCTTCCAGAAGGTCTCGCTGGTGTCGCGGCGGCTGGAGAGCACAGGCAGCTCCCGGGGCCGGGAGGGGAGTCCCTCCCGCGTGTCCCTCCTGCTGCAGGCCTGGGAGAGGGAGATCGTGGAGAAGACGGGGTCCAGCCCCGCCACCGTGACCCACCGGGAACACTCGTCCTCTGTCAACCTCCTCAAGGACTTCACCGCGCACGGCCCCATCTTCTCCCAGGTGTACTCCCCGGCGCAGAAGCCCCGGAGACAGGACGAGAGGGGGAAGGCGGGGGCTGGCGGGGACAGCACCCCCTCTGCGGTGGGGTCCCCCCGCGAGGTGCCCGTGCACAGGGAGAGCTACGTGCACGGCACCCTCCTGCCCACCCGCCCCGCGGGGGGACCCGCGGGGGGACCCGGGGACGGTCCCGGTGCCCCGTGCGCGGCCAAGCCCGGCTGCGTCCCCGCCCTGCCCCGGGCCAGGCAGGTCACGGTGCTGCGGACGGGCAGGGACACAGCGGGGGCTGAGCCACGGGAAGCCCCAAACGGGACACACGACTCCGCCGGTGCCACGACGGCCCCGCCGCAGCGGGAGAGCCCCAGGCAGGACGGCAGTGGCTCCGCTGGGGCTGCAGAGGGCGGCGAGAGCTCGCCGGGCACCGCAGAGGCCACCGGGCTGCCGGCCGAGGGATGCCCTGGGGAGAAAGAGTCGCCGCAAGCCGAAGCCACGCCGGTGAACGCAACCCCGGGAGACGGCGACAGGCCTGGGGACCCACAAACCAGTATAACCAGCTCCCCGCAGTGTCCCTCGGCTGACGCCGGTGGCCAGGCTGATCCGGCTGGCGCAAGAGAGGGAAGCGTGGCAGACGTGGATGGCACCATTCCAGCCACACCACCGAGGACAGAGAGCCCCCCGGGAGCTGACTGCGACCCTAAAAGCCCCTCCTCGGAGGTGAGCAACGGTCCAGAGCCTTCATCCCAAACACCAGCACCAACAAAGGCTGAGACTCAGCTGGAGGGGGATGACGCCATGCGAGACCCCCAGAGCACAGCTCAAGAGCCTGAAAACACCCCAGACACGACACAAGACCCCCAGAGCACAGCTCAAGAGCCTGAGAACACCCCAGAGCCCCCCACCGAACCCCCAGCCCCTGACCCCCCAGCTGAGAGCCCCCCGGACACGACCGAGGAGGACCCTGAACTGCTGGTGGACATGGAGATCTTCGTGGACACGCTCCGCAACATGGAGCCCTCGGAGATGAGGAAGTCACCCAAGGCCCCCCGGCAGCCCCGGCCGTCAGCGCTGAGCCGCTGTGCAGCTCTGCCCCCCATCCACGAGGACCGTGTGGACCCCCGAGCCCCCGTGTCCCTGCCCCAGGCCCTGCGGGAGCTGCTGGCACAGGGCCCGGCGAGGCGGCCAGAGGAGACCCCCGAGGAGGAGGAGGAGATTGAGAACCCCTACCTGACCCCCGAGGAGCGGGCACCGGCCAGGACCCTCCATGGGGTCCCCAGGGACAGGGTGGCTGGTGATGGCTGGGTGGAGGGGGGCTCATTCCTGGGGACGCTGGGGGGACTGGGAGCAGATGAAAAAGCCAGACTGGTGTCTGGGGGCTCGGCCGAGCAGAGCGTGCTCTTCCGAGGGAATGTCCTCAAGGGCATGGCACTGCTCTCCCACTTTTTGGAGCACCGGGCAGCTGGAGCTGATGAGAGCAAGCCCTACTCACGCCTGGACAACAGTGTGCTCTACAGCCGCTTCGTGTCCCCCAGCACCGCCCTGCTCGAGCTGCCTGACAGGGACGGGGCCACGGGCTCATCCACGCTTGGGGACCACAATGGGCTGGGCCCTGGTGGCCACTCCGGCCCTGAGATGGCCATGCTGGAAGCCCTGAGTTCTGGCTCCATCCCTCCTGTCACTGAAGAGCCAGAAAGCACCATGGCCCTGTGTCCCGACGATGTCCTGGTGAGTGAATCCCACAACACAGCACCTGGGGGGGATGCTCTGCCCTCCTGGGCACATGGGGAAGGTCATGGGGGCTGAACCCTGGAGCATCCTTCCCTGCTCCCAACATATGGCTTCCCATCAGAGAGGCCATGGGTACTGGGTGCAGGGATGGGTGATGGGAAGGCACTGGGAAGGGTGAAGGGAGGATACTGGGAAGGGTGAAGGGAGGATACTGGGATGGGTGATGGGAGGATTACCAGATGGGTGATGGGAGGATTCCATCACGAATGACAGGAGGCTATGAGGTCAAGCGATGGGAGGGTGCCACCATGGATGCTGGGAGGGTCCTGGGAGGGTGACAGGAGGGTCCAGGGCAGGCAGGAGGCTGATCCCAAGCAGTACAGGAATGCTCGAGGTGTGGCTGCTCGGGGCGGTGGGAGGGTTTGGCAGATGCCAGACGCGAGGCTGTGGCTCCGGCTTCCTCGGGCTGCAGGGAGATGGCTGGTGCAGCCCATGTCCCTCTGCGCTCCTCACACGCCCGTCCCCTCGGGTCTTCACAGCAGGAGGACAAGGAGGGCTTTGAGAAGATCAACACGAGACCTGGCAAGGTACAGGGAGGGTGGTGGGGCCGGGCTGGGCTGGCTGAATGGGGCATGGCATGGCACTTCTCCTCTGTGTCACCCCTTCCCAGATCATCCTCTATTCCGATGCCAGCTTTGCGGGACAGAAACGGGAGATCTGGGGCGACATCCCCGACGCCACGTCCTGGGAGCTCTCACACACCATCTCCATCCGTGTCATCCGAGGCGGGTAGGGGACAGCAGCAGGGAGAGGACACACCGAGAGGACACAGAGGGAGGGCTGGGCTGGGACTTGTGTGCTCCCTGTGTCGGAGATGTCAGCCAGGTCCCAGACTGGGGTTCAGCAGAGGGAGGTTTTGGCTGGGACTTGTGCATTCCCTGTGCTGGGGATGTTGGCCAGGTCCCAGCCTGGGCTTCAGCAGAGGGAGGTTTTGGCTAGGACTTGTGTGCTCCCTGTGTCGGGGATGTCGGCCAGGTCCCAGCCTGGGGTTCAGGAGTGACTGTCCTGCCGGTGCTAATTACCGCGGCTGCGATCCAGCACCGCGGCGGTGGCAGGATGTCCCCACCCACACTCTGCCCCGAGGCTCCCACCCGGTGGCCACGGGGCTGTGGGTAAAGCAGTATTTTCCCCCCCTCTTCACTCCCACCCCGCTCCCAGGTGGGTGATGTACGAGAAGCCGCGGTTCCATGGGCGCAAGTGCGTGTTGGCCGAGGGGGACGTGGAGATCGACAACCCCTGGACGGCCTACGGGGAGAACGGGCAGCCCCGCGGCAGCCGCCCCTTCCGCATCGGCTCCTTCAAGAGGGTGGTGAGGGTGAGTGCAGGGACCCCCCCCAGATCCTCCAAGCAAGGGATGCTGGGCCCCCATCACGCCCCTCTGCCCCCAGGATTACCGCACCCCCGAGATCAGCCTGTTCGCGGAGGAGAACGGCGAAGGCGCCCGGCTGAAGTTCACCGACTCTGCCGAGGACACCCGCACGCGGGGGCAGGCGCTTGCTGCCGCCTCCATCATTGTCCACTCGGGGCTGTGAGTGGCACTGTGGGGCTGGGTGGGTGCCGAGTGGGTGCTGGATGAGCGGGTGTGATGCCTTCCCCCTCTTCCCCAGGTGGCTGGTTTACTCCAAGCCGTTCTTCGACGATGATCCCTACGTTTTGGAGCCGGGCGGGTACCCCAATTTAAAGGCTTGGGGAGCAAAGGACCCGTCCATCTGCTCCATGCACCCCATCAGGCTGGTGAGTGTTGGTTGCTGGCCCGTGGTTCTTTGGGTGCCAGGGATGTATCCAGCCCTGGGCATGACAGGTGAGAGCATGTCCCGGCAATTCCCGGCTCACATCAGTGAGAGCTCGGTGAGGAAATGTGCCAAGTGTGGCTCTGGAAAGAGCTCCTGAGGGTTAGGGGTGAAGGAAAGTTCCAAAAGAGCTTCTTGAATGAAAATTACCCAAAAACCATCTCAGGCTTTAATGGGGGAAAGCAGATGTCCCTGCAATGTCCCCTCCTGCCACTGCAGCCTCACTGGGGCTCCTTCTCCTTCCAGGGCTGCCCCGTCGTGGAGAGACCCGGAGAGCCACAGGTGAGTGCTGGGCCAGTGCCTGGGGAGCCGAGGGCTGGGACATCCATGGGACCATTCTCACCCCATTGTGTCCCCAGGTGCTGATCTATGAGTCTGCAGGGTTCCAGGGCCGCAGCTTCACTATCAGTCGAGACATCTATGACCTGAAGCACCTTCCCGAGCCAGGGCTGCCCACTGTGGGCTCCCTGCGTGTCCTGGGTGGCTGGTGAGTGCCACGGGGTGGGCAGGGCTGGCATCCTGGCTGGAGCAGGCTGGGAAGGTGATGGCCACCCCTGGGAAAGGGCTTGGAGGAGCTGCCCAGGGTTGTGGGATGGTTGTGGGTCACTTGGGAGAGTTGGAAATCTTCTGGAAACCTCACTGCCTGTGTCTGCCTGTGCCACAGCTGGGTTGGCTATGAGAAGGAAGGCTTCCGTGGACACCAGTACCTGCTGGAGGAAGGGGAATACCAGGACTGGAGGCAGTGGGGTGGCTACAGCAAGGAGTTGGTGTCCCTTCGGCTGATACGGACGGTGAGGGCAGGGATGGTGGCATCACTGGGAATGGACCCAGTGGGGGCAGGGAGAGCCAGGCACCCCCATCCCACCCTCATGTCCCAAAAGGGAGTCTTCCCTACCTGCACCAGGCAGCTGGGCATGGCCTGAGATCCAGGTCAGAGATCCCAAACTCAGAGGTTTCAGAGCTGCTCCCACCCTCCCTGGGGCCCTTAGGCCAGGCAGGGCCCCAGGTGTGTGTGTGCCCGGCCCACAGCCCCTTCCCCTGACAGACCGAGGGGCTTGGGGGGGGGCTTCTTCTCCCTGCAGGACTTCTCTGACCCGGCACTGGTCCTCTTTGAGGCCATGGACTTCGAGGAGGGCCCGAGTGTGGAGCTGAGCGAGGCGCTCCCCGACACGCAGCTGGCCGGCTATGGCACCGTCACCCAGTCCATCCACGTGCTGAGCGGCGTGTGAGTGCAGGGACGGGGCAGAGAGGGGCTGGGGGACGGGGCAGGGTGGGGACGAGCCAGCACCCACCTTTTCCCGGCAGGTGGGTGGCCTACGGGGGCACCAACTACTCAGGTGAGCAGTACATCCTGGAGAAGGGGGTGTACCGCAACTGCGAGGACTGGGGTGCCACCGACTGCCGCATCGCCTCGGCACAGCCCATCCTGCAGGTGAGAGCGTGGGAGAGGAACAGCCCCGTCCACCACGGCTCCCCCGCTGCTGCCACGTGCAGGGCTGGCGTGGGGATCCAGGCTGGACATCCACCAGCCCCGCTCTGTCTGCTTCCAGGTCAGGGAACACAACCTCCACTTCGTCTCCAAGGTCAGGAGCGGCGGATGGGGAGAGGGATGTGCCCCCCCTTGGGGGACGTGGTCCCTTGTGGGGTGGTGGTGATGCTTTGCACCCCCTCAACAAGCCCCTCTGCTCCTCCTTCCCAGATCCTGCTCTTCTCAGAGCCCGACTTCTTGGGGGATCATGTTGCCTTCGAGGAGGACCAGGGAGCCCTGCCCGACGCCTTCATCCCACACTCCTGCAGAGTCCGTGGGGGCAGGTGGGGTGTCCCAGGGCCTCGCTGCTGCCACTGGGATGGGAACAGGGACATCACCCAGCCGCTTCCCCAGAGGGTGGGCGGGATGGGAGTGCTGGGGGGATCACAGGAGGGATGGATGCCCACCACAATGGCCGTGTCAGCCTGGGCACACTCTTCCCTGCCAGCTGGATCCTGTTTGACGGGCAGGACTTTGCGGGGGAGCAGCACGTGCTGTCCGAGGGTGAGTACCCCACGCTCAGTGCCATGGGCTGCCTCTGCTCCACCACCATCCGCTCCTTGAGGAAGGTTCCACTGGTGAGTACAGCCCTTCCCTTTTCCCTTCTCTTTTCCCTTCTCCATAGCACAAACCCCCCCAGGACCTTTTTCCCCTCCCACAGGCATCCCCTGTTCTGGCTCTCCATCCCTGGAGCCCTCCTGCCCCCATGGGGTGCTCACTCCTCCCACCTTCCCCCTTCCCACCCCGTCTCTCCCCACCATCCCACAGTTTTTCTCGGAGCCCTCCATCTTCCTGCATGGGCTGGAGTGTTTCGAGGGGAAGGAGATCGAGCTGAACTCCGAAGTGCGGAGTCTCCAGGCGGAGGGTTTCAACAACCACGTGCTGTCCGTGCGCGTCAAAGGCGGGATGTAAGTGAGCCCCCGGCCCCGCTCCCCCAGCACCCAGTGGGTGTCCCCTGCCCACACGGGGTGACCTGCCCTGTCCCATCCTGTCCCCACAGCTGGGTGCTGTGTGAGCACGGTGACTTCCGAGGGCGGCAGTGGCTGCTGGACTGCACTGAGATCACCAACTGGCTGACCTACAGTGGGCTGCAGCACGTGGGGTCCCTCTACCCCATCCGCCAGGTGAGTGTCACCTTTGGGAGGGGACAGGGTGCTGGCACATGGCAGGGTGAACCCCAAAATCCCAGGCTCACATGGAGCTAAAGAGCTGCCAGCCTGCTCCGGGTGGGCTGCAGGAGCCTGGAGAGCAGTGGCATAGAGCTGACAGCTCTGACACATGAAAGGTGCCACCAGCCTGGCACTGTCACCTCAGATCTTTGTCCCCCTCCCTGGGAGTGGCTGCCTTGGTGGCGAAACACTCCCTGTGGGCAACTGCCTTGTAAAATCCGTGGCATCCCGGTGTGGTGAGCTGTGCCTGCACCAGCTACGAGGGACAGGTCACGGTCACAGCCGTCGCCCTGGGGAGGGGTGAGGATCTCCTGGGGGGAGGAAAATGGAGTCCAGGATCCTCCCTTCCCAAGGCCCCGGCCAGGTGAGATTCCGGAGGTGCAGGCAGCAGGGCTTTTTGGGTGCAAAAAGAAAGGTTTCTCTCTTTGCAGAGACGGATCTATTTCCGCATCAGGAGCAGGGAGCTGGAGCTCTACCTCGCGGTCCCTGACGACGTGGAGGACATGAAGGCAGGGCGGGTGGTGGTCTCCAACCTGAGGGAGCAGAGCAGCTCTGTCTGGTACTACGAGGATGGGCTGATCAAAAACCAGGTCAGGTGTGACAGCCAGAGCCACGGAGGGGATGGGGGGAGCCCCTGGCAGGACTCCCTTTGGGGTACTCCCCACCCCACAGCCACCTTTTAGGGGTTTCAGCAGCTTTTCCAAGTGTCTGATCTCAACCTTGCCCCCAAAGATGGGGTGATTCTCCTCCCCAAGAGGAGACTGGTGTCTCTGCCTTCCCTGCAGAGCTTTTGTCATCCTCACCATCCCTACTTCTCACTGAGGGGTTTTCCTGTTCATCCCACATCCCACCCCAGAACCAGCAGCATTTGCAGGGACACCCCTCTGGGCTCTGCTCCTTTTTGCTGGTGGAGGCGATGGAGGGAGTGGGCTGACCTGGCCACCACCACCCTTTTTAGGTGGCCCCCAACATGAGCCTGCAGGTCATCGGGCCAGCTGGGAAGGGTGCAAAGGCCGTGCTATGGTCCGAGACCCGGATGCCACGTCAGACCTGGAGCGTGGATTCTCAGGGACGGATCCACAGCCAGATGTTCGAGGACATGGTCCTCGACGTAAAGGGTGAGGCCTCGGTGCTGGCACAGGGGGTTCTTTCACAGGGATGCCCAAAATGGGGCACCCACCCCTTCACCACCATCACAAGTGTGGTTTGCCCCCCTGAAAACTCCCCCTCGCTCTGCAGGCGGCCGAACCTACGATCGGGACCACGCCATCGTCTGGGACATGGCCGAGGAGAGACCTACGCAGATCTGGGACATACAGGTGCTATGAGGGGCTGGGCCTGCAGAAGTGCCACAGGACAGGACAGGGACACCCACAGCAGGGCAGGAGGCCTCAGACCCCGTGCACGCCGCACCCCAAACACCCCTCTGCCCCGGCTGCTGGTGTGAAGGACGCCCACCAACCCCTCCATCACGGGGGGAACAACCCAGGGAGCCCCGTGTGTGGTTCATGAAGGACCCCATGGACATGACCAGCGTGGGACCCTCTGGAGAGCGGCAGAGCCCCCTCCTCACCAACATCCCCCCCCAAACTGTATTTATGTACGTGTGTAAGATACGGCCTTTCTCATCTGGGCCAGCTCTGCCTGGGTGGTTGGTGTCCTTCTCCTTGTCCTTGCAGTGCCCACAGCCTGGAAGCTGCCCCCCCATCCCAGCACCTTGCCCTGCACCAGCCCTGGGCCTAATCCTGCTCCCAGGATGGGATCCCAGTGCCCTCTAGTGCCCATGGGCAGCTCCATGGCCACGGGTTTTGAGATGGGAAGCGCTGGCCAAGCTGTGCCCTGGGAGCGCTGGGGGCTGTGGTACCCCAAGAGCTCCGACTCAGGGAGAAACCCAACCTGTGGGCTTGGGGGTGTCCATACCCCAGGGTGAGCTCAGAGCCAGCAGTGTTTGCTGTCTGTGATGCAGAGCTGGATTATGGCTCAGGTCACTCATCTTCCATGTCCCTGGGACAGAGGTCTTGTCCACCTGGGTGAGAGCAGGAGCTCCCCGGGGACGTGACTCAGAGCCAGAGGGACAAATCCACACAACAAGCACCTCTGCCCTCGTGGCTGAGGAGAGGACAAGGCTGCCGGCATTGGCCAGGTTTGCTGAGCAGGTTGAGCCCAGCTTGGGCTCCCCAGTTTGGGGAGTCACTGCACGGGGACAGCTATCGCTTATCACCCCGGGCTGTCCCGCGGTGACAGACAGGCCCCAGGGGCTGCACATCAGAAGTCTCCACTGGGCTGGTGGCTGCTGCGGCTTTCAGCGACAGCCACCATCAAGCATCCATCTTTTACGCTGAAACGTGCCCCCAGTTGCCCCGAGATCCGTTTGGGCGGGAGGACAGGCAACCACACGACCAGAAACTCTTAGGTTCAGGTCAGCTCAGCGGAGCGGGACGCTGAAGGAAGCGAAAGCTCGTTGTACTGCGGGGCCCCCGACACGCGGCGGCTCCTCCCCACCCGCGACCGCGCCTGACAGGGAGGGAGACCTTTTCCACGATTATATACCCCCCACCGGGCCGCGATTGGCTGACAGCGGGAGCTTGGCAGCCCCGGATTGGTGGGGAGCGCGAGCCCTGCCCTGGGATTGGCCAGGACGCGCCGGGGGAGGGATGCTCCGCCCGGCCGGCAGGGGGCGCTGTGCCCGCGCCGCGCCCGCTCCGGGTTCGGTGCCTGGGGGACCCTCGGGGGGTCCCGGGAAAGCTCCGGGGGGACCCTCGGGGGACCCTCGGGGGGTCCTGGCCGTGCTCCCCCTGCTCCCGGCCGTGCTCCCCCGGCTCCCCGTCTCGGCTCAGGCCTGGCAACCGAGGGTTGAAGCCCCCGGCGAGGCGCCGGTGCTGCGCCCCCCACCCACCAAACCCCCCCAGCCCCTGTACCCACCCGCCCCAAGGCGGAGGTCTCGACACCAGCACGTTTATTGCTCCGCTCCCCGGGCCGGGGGGTCTCACTCCGGGACGAGGGGAGCGGAGAGCGGCAGGGATGGATGGGAGCGATGCCGCGGTGCTGCCGGTGCGGGGGATGTCATCCTTGGGGGGGGGGTCTTCTTGGGCGTCCTCTTGGGGGGTCCGGGGAGGTGCACGGTGACCCCCTCCCGGTCAGCGCAGATGCAGGAGGAAGGCTGCGGCCACTCCCAGGGCGATGGAGAGGAGCGGAGGGCTCCCGCAGGGGGGGCTCAGGCTGGCGCTGGTCGTTACGTTGGCGGGCAGAGGATCTTTTGCAGGCTGCTTCTCACCCTCCGCCTGGCAGAGAGACTGGGAAAGAAAACGAGCGTCAGGCATCCCTTCCAAACAGCTGCCAGGGTTTGAAAGCCTCACTTTTTGCCCTCGGGGCAAAAGGAGTCGGGCAAACGGACTTGGGGCACCCGAGAGCCCACACTGCCCCGTGCCAGGCAGGACAAACATCCTCCTGTCCCACAGCAGGTTCTCCTTCACACTCAAACTCTTGGCTTTTGGGTTTTCCCGGCACAGGGTGGGAAGCGAGCTCTCCCTCGAATCGTTGTCCTGGCTCTGGAGGGGGATTTAAAAAAAATTAGTGGGGAAGCAGGAGCCAGGGAGTGGCCTCTGCCCCTCTTTCTGCTGCGAGGAAGTGGCAAGAAGGTGGCAGGACACGTGCCCTGAGCGGAAGAGGTTGGGGTGTGGGAGCAGAGCTGGGAAACACCCGTGCTGGAGGAGAGGGGTAGGGGGAAGAGGGACCCCGGGCTGTTGCAAGCAGGGAGGTTGCAGCCGGTGTGTGAAATACAACACAGCTGGGATGGTGATTTCAGGGCACTTTCCTTCCGTCTCTAACACTGCCCTGCTGCTGGAAAAGGGATGCTGTTTCCCACTGTGAAACACACAGTCCCCACGCTGCCTCACAGCCCTCCTCAGGGTCCCTCCAGAGCTGGGAAAGAGTCAGGGATGGGGCCTCAACACCCCTGAGGGTTTTTGGCTGGTTCACCCAGCCACAGAGGGGGAATCCCGAAATGTAAATGCACCCTGTGGAGCCAACAGCAGGTCGCAGCTGCATGGAAGTTCACGAGTGAAATAAGCACAGACAGATCTACCCCTGTTACCAACACATTGTAGGGGCAAAAAAAATCATCCCAAAAGCTGCTCCAAATAGCATTGTACCCCCCAAAATCATCATGATCTTCCCTCCCACGCAACACTCCCCACCCAGGAGAGCCCTGACATCCACCAGCATGGCACTCAGACCCTCCCAGTGGGAAGGAAAACAACCTCCAGTGGGGAGAGGCAAGTGGAAACCACAGACGTGTGCCCACCCAGGACCCCCACGGCCATGCCCGGCATCTCCAGCGAGCCACATTCAGCATCCCCACACCAGGCACGGGGCCAGCAGGCAAAGGAGAGGCTGGAGAGCTCAGAGTGAAGCTTATGGATGTGAATGATACTCTCAAGTTGAAGAAATGCTTTTAAAAAAAAATCAACACATGGAAGTATTTAGACCTTCCAGACCACAGCGCAAAGCTCCCGGTCCATCGCAGCGGTTAGAGTCAGATAGAAAATTAAACGCTGATGTTCCCAGCTGAAAGCAGAAATTACCTCACTGGTTGAACCCAGGGCTGCCTCCCACCCCTGGGACAGAGCTGGCTGGGCTACCAGAGCCCTGGCCTTACCATGCAGAGGGCGAACAGGGCGAGCAGGAGGAGCGGGCGGATGCGCTGCAGGGGCCGCATGGTCGGGGCTCGTGGGGCTCTCCGTGTGCCTGACACTTCCTCCTCTGCCCCGAGGCTTTAAGCACAGCGCTGGCTCCGTCTCACCAATCACAACCCCCTTCTCCAAAAGGCTGCTCAACTTAATTTGGGGAAGTCGCGTCTGTTGACGGCGCTGGGAGGAAGAAGGCGCCAGACGCGGCGTGGGGGATCTCCGCCCTTTTTGGCCTCGAGTCCCTGGAGCTTTTCACCCGCATCCCCTGCCATGAGAGCAGCTCCTACTCCCTCTTCCCTGGCACGGCCACACAGCCAGCTCCAAGGGATGTCCTGGCCACTGTCTGCAGCCCCTGGCTCTGCCACATCCCCAAATACCACCCCCAACATGAACCTCCTGAGGCTGAGCTCTGCATCTGCCTGGGGGCTCTCTGTCTTCACACCTACAAAGGACTGAAGGGTGGCTGAAACCTTCCCTGGCTCACTGGGACGGTTTGCAAGTCACATCCAGTGTTTGAACCATGCCACAAACCTCCTTCCCCTGCTGTGAAGCTGAGGCCAAGGTGTCCCTCTGAATTTCAGTGACACACCCAGGGTAGTCTGATCCAGGTAAGGGATCAGAGAAATGCTTCCTTCTGCCCCCCAATATCCACCTCCTCACAGGAGATCTCTGGGCTCCCTCCGCGACTCAACTGCAGCACCAGGAGACAAAAAAGGATCTGGTTATTTTAAGGTGGTTTAAAATGAATAAAGTTACTGAAATGTGCCAAGCACATACACCTGCTGTCTGGGTTTGTGCTGGTGAAGCGCTTCATGAAGAGCTCGCTGTCAGCTTCCGCCCAGAGCTGAGAGCTCCTCTGCAGCAAAGCTTCAACAAATTTAGCTCGTTTTCGCACTTTGTTGAAGTTTCAAACTGAAAGGCTCTCTGTGCACAGCCAACATCCCTGGAAGTGTTCAAGGCCAGCTTGGACGGGGCTCGGAGCAGCCTGGTCTAGTGGAAGGTGTCCTTGCCCACGGTACGGGGGTGGAATGAGGTGAGCTTTGAGGTCCCTTCCAAAACCAGTCCTGTGATTCTATGAGCACCCCATAAAAGGGGGTAAAACCGGCTAGGCTTCAGCTGGCTCAGTGGCAGCAGGTGGGGTGGGAGACACACAGGGTAGGCTCCCGGGATGGCAGCAAGCTCTGGACAGAGTTCAGGGCATCAGTGAGGCAAAACAAGAGGTGTCCAGGTGAGAGAAGCCAGACCAAAGCAACAGGCGAGGGAATCAGGAGGAGCTGCACAGCGGGAGGTGCCTCAGGTCGGGCCGATGTCTATGAGCTGAAGAAGAGAATGTGCAGAGGGAGGCAAGGGAGGGAAGCAGGACCCACTGCCCATCTCATCCCGGTCCCATTCCCAGTCCCATTCCCGGTCCCCTCGTGCCGGGGCCGCCGCGCGGTGCATGCTGGGACTTGTAGTTCCCGTTGATGCATCGCCCACCACGTGACCAGCGCTGAGCCAATCGCAGCGGCCCCTCATCGCCATGGCAACCGCCTGTAAACAAGATGGCGGCGGGCGGGTGAGTGCTTGGGGGCCCGGGGGAGCGCGGGGATCCCCCACCGAGGTTCGGGGATCCCCCCCGAGGGTTCCCCCAACACACGGAGCTCCGCCCCAGCACACCCCGTGTGCCCCCGGCGCTGCCACCTCCGTCGGGCCCCCCCAAGTTCCCCCCCCCCCCCAAGTCATCTCCCCCAGGAGGTACCTGGTGACCCCCGTTGTTTTGAGCCCCTTTTCGCCCACGATCCCTCAAACAGCCCACCCTGCCCCGGTGTACGGGCTGGGGTGATGAGAAAAATGTACAGTTTAGGCTTTTTTAGACAGTTTTTTCAATTATGTTTTTAAAAATTCACCCATCAAGCAAACCCCCCCAAAGTTAATGAGCCTGTGCTTTATTTTTATGTATTATCCCGTCTTATTTTTTACTGAAGGGACAGAGCTGTCCAAGTTCTTTGCCTTCACAGGTGAGGCAGTTCTTACCACCCTACACATTTTGCAATGTCTGTAGCTCTCTCTCTGCTCTCTCTCTCTCCTACAACTGTCCAAAATCAGATAAGAAACAACAGGCTTCCACATCCTTAACCAGCCCTAGAGCACAACAAGACATCACCTATTTTTGCAGTTCCACTTCAGGTCACATCCTCCCCACCAGGTTTCAGAGCAAACCCTCACGTTTCACTCCCAGTAAAGTTTGCTGCTTATGATTGTACCTTTCCATGTTCCTGTCTCATATCAAGTGCCCACACACGCTCAGGAATTTGGGAATACTCATGGGATTGAATGCCCAGGCCACCTGCTTTCCCTTCAGCACAAGCCCGATATTTCTTTCCCTGCTTTTGGAGAAGTTGTATCCAAACACTGACCTGTTTTTCTTCCTTCCATGCTCTCTGTGCCCCTTCTCAGAAGATGCCAGGCTGTCTCCTAGGACCAGGATTCCAGTGCAAGGGAGCCTCCCCTCCTACTCCAGTGGACAACACTGAAAAGGAACATGGAGGGTAAAGTCCCTCAATTATTAGGGGGTTCTGAGTTTCTCAGTGACACCCCAGGCCAGACCTAATTTCTGTGGTCCCCCTCTCGCCTACACAACGTGCTGTTGGTGACACAGCCACCCCCTTACCCCCCAAAAATATCCTCGTCCTCCCTGCTGTGGCAGAGCAGGAATTCTGGTGTGGGGCCCCCTGTGTGCCCCCCATTTCAGAGAGGTGACAGGTATTTGTGCCTCCAGGTGCAGCTCACACCGACACGGAGCTCGTGTCCCCCGAGGTGGAGCTCACGCCCTCCCTGATGCAAAAAATCTCTCTGTTGGAACAAAAAATAGAGAAACAAGCACAAGAAATCCAGCTAAAGGTAAATATTAGCCCCCCCGTCTGAGCCTGCTCTGTGTCCTGCTTTGATGGTTGGAGCCACAGCAGTTCCACCTGCTCAGACCTTGTTTGGGCTAAAAGAAGTTAATCTGTGGCCTGCTCTGTTAATTACCCAAACGAGCCTTTGCAAAGCAATAGAGGAATTGGATCAGGCCTTGGGGTGGGAGAGGGGATTACAGCAGTGACTCCCAGCACCCTGGCACTAATATCAGCAGCTCTTTGGCTTCAGACCTTTTATTTTTTCCCCCTTCCTTTTGTTTTCTGAAACAGCAGCTGCTCACACAGCAGAGTCATCCCAGAGCAGACCTCTCTGCATTACTGAATGGAATAGATACCCTTTAATAAATACCCTTTAAAAGCTTAGAATAAATACTCTGTTTTGTTTTATTTTTGAAGAAGTGGCTGCAGAGATGCTGGTTTAGTCTCCAGATCAGCCCCTCAGCACGAAGCACAGGAGCCTGTGTGTGCCCACAGCTCTCGTGCAGATGGAGGACTGGGAGATAGGTCGCCTATTCCTGGAGTTCTGTATTTATCCCACCCCTCACTTGAGCCTAAATAAGGTGTTTGTGAGGTGATTCAGCCCTTCTGACCCTTGTTTTGCCTGTCTCTGAGTGGGGTGGGAGTACCTGCACCAGACTCACCCAGGACTAATTGTGCCAACTGTGCCTCGAGGCCCTGAGGCCCAGGAACTAAGTGAGGTCATTATTTGTTCTGTCCCTGCAGGACAGGAGGATTGCTGAACTCGAGGAGAAGATAAAGACTCTTCAGGAAGGGGAAGGTAAAACTTGATCGACTTTTGGCACCTCTGGGAGGGCAACAGAGCTCCTGGTGCTGCAACAGAGCTCCTCCCTGAGCTGTCCTTGGCTCCAAAGCCCAGGAGCCTCTTTGGTGAGAGGTACCAGCCACCCTGGTGCCATTTCCTAAAGCAGATCTGCACTTTAACTCGCATCTGTTACTCGGCTTTTTCTGGTGCAGTGCAAATCGTCATTTCCTGGCCTATTTTCTGTGGGTTACTAAGTTTCCATGAGTGTAAACCAGCCACCCAGGCACCCGAGGATGGCCAGGAGGAAACAAAAAAATCAGTAAACACTGCAGAGTTCAAACAGGCAGGAAAACAGCTACAGCTGAGAGAAACCAAAAATCTGCTTGGAGTTTCCAACAGGTCCAGGCTCACTTGTCCTGCAAGGCAGCCTAACTCTAAATTGAACCCAGCTTTAAGTGAGTCACCGAAGGTCTTTTCCCCAATTCAGTTCCTTGGAATCCAGCAGCTCTCCAGCTGAGCCCACACACGTTTTCTGCAATGGCTGAACTACCTTGTTAGTGCAAAGCTGTGGTAAACTCTCCATTTCCTGAGTGAAAAAACACGACTGTGCCTGTCAAACCACAATCATGTGTGGTTTGTGCCTCACCACGCGCTGTGCTGCCACTCAGCCAAGATTTCTGGACCCAGCTTTAGTGGACACCTGCTCATTTTTTTAATGGGCTGAGGAAGCCAAGCAGTTTTCATTGCACAATTGCCAACAGCACCACTCACATCAGCTTCCTGCAGCATAAAACTTCGCCAGTGTCGTTCACAGCTATCTCTTGGTCTGTCAGCATCCTTGTCAAACCACTGCAGGCTGAATTGTCAGAGTCCAGCACTCAAAGGTCACGTTCAGCCCCCGTGTCACGCTTGAGGTCACTCACAGTGCAGGCAGGGTGCTGCTGAGGGTCTGTGCTGTGTGACACAGGTTTTATCTACAGCTCTTCTTTAAGGCTGCGCACAGAAGCATCAGCTCTTCTCTTTCAGGTGCTCCTGACTCATCCACCCTGGAAGAGCTGGAAGTGAGGTGCCTTCAGCTGCAGACCCAGGTCTGCGAGATGGAGGTGAGACACCAGCCTCTCTTGCCCTCAGCCATCTGCACCTTCACTTTGAGAGTGCTGCAGTCCCAGGCTGCTTGGCCTTTTCCGAGCTGCCACTTTGGTCATCACAGTTCTTCACCTCAGTCTGGAAAGAGAGAGCAGGTAGGATGTCAGCAACAGGGCAGAAGGAGGCTTTTTAAACACACAAACATCTGTGCCTCCTGCAAACCTCGTCATTTTGATTTCCAGGACTGTAGAAATATTCTTTGTGGCTCCTACAGTCTTGAGAGGTTACACTGTCACTACAAATGCTTTCCTCCTCCCTTTTGCCTGCTACTAGTGGAGCTGCTACTACTGCCCTGCCAGTGAGTCTGTCTGTCTGGGCCAAGGAGCCCCCAAGACAAACCTCTTTTACCTCCCTTTCTGCTTCTCTCAGTCACAACTGACCACGCTCAGGCTTCCACTTCTGGTTTTCTGAAGCTCTGCTCTACAACATTACTTGTACTTTCCCCTCTCAGCGGTTTCTGAATGACTACGGCCTGATTTGGGTGGGAGAGACACGAGATCAGCTGGAAGACACAGAATCTCTCGGGGATGAAGAGGAGCTGCTTCCAAGGAGCCTCTGGAAGCCAGGTAAAACACCAGCACCCCTGGCTGAAGCAGCTATCCCAGCTCCCCCTGCCTGCTTAGAGAAGGTGGAGCAGGTAAGCACCAAAGGCCCAGGATCTGGGCCTTCAGAATTTGTGATCCCGTGCCGAGATCTTCACATCAACCCCTCCCAGGGACAGGGACATGGAGTGACCTAGCAGGAGCTAAGCCAGGCAGGAGGTTTAACTTTATACACCTAAATTTTGTAAGCTCTTCAGGAGAGAACCTGATGGCTCAGCCCTTTGGGAGGACCTCACAGCAGCTGTTTCCTGCAGAATTCACATACCCTGCACTGTTTGAAGCTTCATTGCTTTAATAATATTGACGTAAAGTGGGTGGAAAACGGAATCAGGTGCTTTGTGTACATAGCAGTTGTAGTAACATACCCACATTATCTGGCTCCACCAGGGAGTATTGTTTGCCTTTCCTCCCAACTACCACGTGAGTGGTTTAATTGAGACCTGACTGTGCTGTGTGGGGTCCAAGCATGTTTGGCAATGGCTTCTTAGGAAGTGGTAACAGAGGAAAAAAAGGAAGAATACTTGGGCTGTAGAGGCAATGCTGCCTCCTAACCACCATGCAAATATTAGCTAACTAGACCTCCCCACCCTTGGATGCAGGAGGGGACGGACAGACAGAAATCAGTAGAGATAGTTTTGATATCAGCTCACTGATCCTTTTTAAGGGCATTTCCCCATCCTCCTTTAGCAAATCATAAAAAAGCAGAACAACAATACAAAGGGCTTTAGCTCAATCTACATCTTTTCTTTCATTTCCCCTTCTGATTTCATTCCTCTGCCCCATCACAACCTTTTCACTGCTTCACCCTACCACCCTCAGGCACCCAGACAAACGTCCTCACAGCGTCCCTGCCCAACCTGCAGCTGCCTGTGTTTACACTGACACTTCTTCAGCACCTCTGCCCTGATCCATTGATCCAATCTCGCTAATCCAACTAGTGAAATTCCTCCCCTTGCATTGTGCAGGGACAACCCAACACTTCTGAAGTGATAAACAGGGCGAGGGGCTGAGCGTGGAGCCCTGTGAGTTTGCACCCTCTGCCCTGCCCTTGTGGTTTAGCCCACACCCGGGTGGACCTGGCAGTGCTGCACCACAGCACAAGTGTTGCACCACACTCTGCAAACATGTGAAAATGTCAGGGCTCAAAACACACCTCAGATTCATACAGATAAAAGCTGCTCTGCTGCCACCCCCTTACCCCTGTAACTCTGATCCCTCTGCCACAGGTGAAGCAGTTGTTTCCAAACACCAGATTGATTTTGATTTAATCTTGGAGAATGTTAAATATTTGAACCTGCTGGCTGGAGAAGGCAGCCCTCAAATCAAGCACACGCTCCAGGGGGCTCGGCTGAAGCAGCCAGAACCCATCCCTCTCACCCTGTACCAAAATGGGATCGTCATGTGCAACGGAGCCTTCCGGCCCTATCAGGACCCATCCACACAGGTATGGAAAGGTCTGGAAGGGAATTAGAGCCCTCCTGCCATCCTTCACTAAGCCCCAGGAAAGGCAGTAAGGCTTTTGAGCTCATCTCAGTCCTAAAAAGGAGCCCAGCTCCTCACCTCATGTACCCACAGTGCCTTGAAAGACTTGTATGTCTCTGTGCAGTAATTTTTAGAGATGAGATTCTGTGCCTCCGACTTCTCTGCACGGCCAGAACACCACAAATAGGAGCAGCCCAGCAGAAAGATCAGTCCTGAGCTAAACAGAAAGTCTGTGGTGTGACCATGAGCTCTCATGTTGTTTCAGCAATGCCTGCAGGACATCATGGATGGGTATTTCCCTTCAGAGCTGCAGCAGCGCTACCCCGATGGCGTCCCTTTGCAGGTAAGTGCCAAACCCTTCTCACCAGCTTTTTGGGGAGAAACTGCTCTCTTGCTTCCCAAGAAAACTGTTCAGGTGTCTTTCATCGCTCTGCTGGACTGAGTTTGAGGTTTGTGATGCTGTGCAGATGTGTCTGGGGGAAAGGCTGGTGGGGAGCACACCTGCTACAGCCGTTAGAGGAAGTGAGTGAGTGTTTCTGCGTCAGCACCGAAGGGTTTCTCTGCCTCAGTGAATCTTGGCTTGGAACAAGGCTTCTAAGAGCACAGCAGGCTCTGTAAGAGAAGTAGCACGTGCAGTATCTGAAGAGCTGTGTCACCCAAAGGGAAAAAAAAAGTTCTCAATTAGTTCCCCTGGAAAAGCTTTTAAAACCAGATTGAACAAGTGTCTCTCAAAGAGGATGTCGTGAGAGTTTATTTTGCACACCTTAAATGGCTTTGGCCACCTGAGGTTCTTTTGGGCTCCACTTTTTGATTTCTTAGAAATGGCAAAGAGCCAAGGCCATATTTGCAGGCAGAAAGCCTCAGAGGACTCAAATCTAGGGCTTTGAGTGCACCTGAAACGTAAGAAGGAACAGCCAGAGGCTGGACCTACCCACTGCCACGAAGAAACCAGGGCACAGCTGCAGGGGCAAGACAAGGTCAGTCCGGCTGGAGTGAGCTGGGAGCTGTGGAAGTTAGAAAGTCACATGGAAGGAGGATTGTGCAAAGCTCTTGGGGCTGAGGTTCCTTTTAACCTGTGCATCATTGGTTTTGTTTGGGGTTTATGACTGTTGGGTGTCATTGCTGTGGTTTATCGTGCTCTGATGCAGCAAGAGAAGCTTGTGCAACAGTCAGATTTGCTTATGGCAGTTGGACTTAATTCAACAGGTCACTGACAGAAGGGACGTGGTATTTGAGGAGAGGGACCTTCCAAGGAGTTTTCCTGGCCATGGCCAAATGGTTGGTCATTCGGAATCAAACCAAGTGCAGGAAACCACCGAGATCCCAGGTAAAATCTTAAGCCTGCCTCAAAAATGCAGCTAATTTTCAAAGGGGAGAATTTCTAAACCTTACCAGGGCAGTGCAGCAGGAAGGAGGGGTGTTGGGGGTTGTCTCAGCAAGGAAGGCAACACTTGTGGGTCAGGGCCTGGTGTTGCTTCAGGAGCTGGGATCCAGGCAGCCCACACAGTGTCCTCTCATTGTTCATCTCCTAAAGAATGAGATGTGATGAGTAATAAATTACCAGAAATTCAGCAGGTTTCCAAAACATATCTGCCCTGCACCCTTCTGAAAGGCCAAGCTCCTTCTACCTTCACCTTTACCACCATCAAAGGCTGAGGGAGGGATTTGCTGGCAAAAAAACCTCTGCTCTCCTATAGCCTCATTCCATAAATGCAGATATCTTCAAACCACATCAGCCTTAACTGTTCTGAATATGGGACAGTTTCTCTTCAGACTTTCATAACAGAATACGGGACATAAGGTCAGGCCACAGATACCTCATTTTGCTTCTAGACTCTCACAGTCTGCATAAGCAATACCTGTCAGGACTGGGAAGTCAGACTCAGTCAGTCTCAGTGGGTTTGTGTGTGCATCACTAAATAACCCAATATGTGCATCTCCCATCAGCAACAGCTGCCTGGTTACCTACAGCTGAACTGCTTGCTCATTCATCTCAAGGCTATTCCCAAACAGCAGCTCTGCTAAATATTCCCTTTATCTAAGTAGTAACAAAAAAAAAATAATTTTTCAAACAAAAAGAAGTAGACACCAACAAATACACCCTCACAAGGTGAAACATTGTCCAAGACTGTAGAAATGGTGATAGTTTCAGTTTTTCACAGCAGAGCTATCCAGGTTTCTACCTGCTGTGCATCCCAGCTGTGCTGAACAGGCTGTGCAGTTCTCACTGTTGATGTTGACAATCAGACATTTACTGGGCCAGAAAGTGGGACAAACTTCAAGGGAGGAACCCGAGAGCGAGTCTCAGCCTCGCTGGGGGTGGTGAGAGCTCTCCCTGTCGGCTGCACCCTCTCCTTTCACCAAATCAGCCTGTTCCGGGGTCAAAATGTCTGTCAAGAAGGTCACACATGGACACATCTCCCCTCTGCTCTGACAGGTCCCAAAGCCTCCTTGGAGCAGTTTCCCAACCAGCTTCCCAAGGCCCTGGAACATGGAGGAGGAGTGGTTGGTGTCCAGGGCTCAACTGGAGCAGCACAGCAGGTACGAGAGGACCCCCAGACACCCACAGGAGAGGGGCAGCAGTGATTCCTTGGGCTCAGCACCCTGCACAGCACCAGCACCCCCTCCTTGGGCCTCTCTCAGCTCCACGTGATCTCCTCCTCCCAGAGAGGCTCCACCAGAGCACACGTGGCACTTTGGCACCTGCCTCTGGACCGTCCTGGCACCGGCTGCTCTCTGGGCAGTGGTGACACTCACCTGGTTTGGTTTCAGGGCTCTGATGGGGTGCAGAGCAGCAAAGAGACCCTGGTGGAGACACCCAGGCTGGCTGCCCTGGAGAGGTACAGGTACAGCCCCCCAACCCCTGCCCTGTCAGGATCTCCTCCTCCTCCTATTTCATCACTGCAGGTTTATTTCAGGGGGTTCAGTTGAGGAAGTAAATGGACTTTCCCCTTTTAGACCTTACAAATAATTAGAAAAAAGGCCAAGTTTGGTCGTTTGGGAAGACCACTGAATTTCTCATGGCAAACCTGCCACATTTTGCATCTCTAACAAAAAAGTTCTGTTGTTCAGAATGTCACTTATTTCTTTGAAATAGTTTTCCCAACAACAAGCCAAGGCCTAAGAGTTCGAAACCACTGAAGAAGCTGTTTGCAGTCACGTTAAATGGGGGAATCCCTCCAAGAAACTGATGCCCAAGTGGGAGGTCTCACTAACAGCACTTTTCCACTCAGTCTTCTGGCAAGCCAAGACCCAAATAGCTAATGAAAAAAAACCCCAAGCAGATTATTTTTAATCAGAGAAGTAGGGCGAAGCACTTACCAGACAGCCCTGATTTAAAATGAAAAAGTTAAAAAAGGTCAACAACCCTCTTCAAGGCACCTTCAGGCAGGGAAAGCAAAGCAGCAGTTTGGGCAGCGGGTTGGTCTGTTTGCCTGCAGTCAGGTGGGACCTCGTTCATCTCTAGAACATTCCCTCTCCCCTGTTTGGACCTCACCAGCACATCCTGGAGGTTCTGCCCACTGAGTGGAGCTCAGTCCTTGGCTGACAGGGTTTTCTAACCAGGGTGAAGATGACTGAAGAGGCTGAAGCTCCTGCCCCTGGAGTCTGCACTCTCCGTGTCAGGTGCGAGAGCGGGGAGCACACGCACGTTGTGAGGATGCTCTTCACCGACACCATCGGGGACCTGCGCCAGCACCTCGCCCGCATCAGGTGTGCACAGCACTTCCTCCTGTCCTTGCCTGGCTCTGTAGGGCCCCAGGGAAGGGCTCCTGGTGGCTGCTGAAGGCCCTGGATCTTCAAACATCAGCCTGAGCTGGGTCACAGCTCAGTCCTCTGCCCCTTCAGCTCCCTCACTAGATGCTCTCCCCGCAGCACTGCTGGGGTCCCACATAGCTCAGAGTGTTTCATACCCACCTTTGTCATGCAGCAGCAGAGATAAACCTCTTCTGCCCTCCCAAAATTGCCATCAGACCCAGGCCAGCACTGCCTTTGCTCAGCAGCACTCCCATGACTAGTGCCACCATTCCCAAGGTGCTGGTGCAGCCTGGAAGCCGAGCTGCTGGATCAACACCCTCTTTGCTCAGCCATCCCAATATCCCAACCCTTTTAATGCTGTCTGAGGGTTCACTGAGCCCTTCAGGAACAGTTCCAGATGGCTGAGGGCACCTTTTGCCCTCCCCTCTTCCCACTGCTGTTGCAGGCCAGGGCCTTGGCCTTGGTCTGATCCCAGGATGAGCTCAGTGCTGTCGGGATGCACGAGCCTCCTTCCCCCTGCAGCTGTGCAGCTGGAACAGCTGCTCTGTGCCTGGCTGTCTGCAGAGGGCTGGGAGCCCTTTTTTCTGCTCTTGCATAACCACAGCTGGATCAGCCAGAGCATCTCAGCAAAACCTTGGGGGACCCTGTGAGTAGGAAAGATTGTGCTGTTCTTTCCTAGGGGTGGAGACTCCGACTCGTATGAGATCATCAGCACCTTTCCCCAGAGGCTGTACACAGACAACTCCAGGAGCCTGCAGGAATGTGGGCTGATCCCCAATGCCTCCTTGCTGCTGAGGAGAAGAGACCCCTCCCAGCAAGAGGGACAGGGCTGCAAACACCTTAACAGCTCCTCATCCCAAGCTCTGCAAGGAGAAGGAGCTGCCTCTCACCTGTTATAACCTTCCCTGGCTGGGAAGAGGTTTTCTTTCCAGATTTAGTTTCCTTGTGCCATTACCTGGGATGGAGAAAAGCCTGGAGCAGTGGTTTAGCCTCTCCCTGTGGCAGAGGGTGCCAGGCCCACTCCTGCTGCCTTGCAGTGGGTGCTATTCCCCAAGACAGGTGGGCTCCCAACCCAGAGACACTTCCATGAGCTCACACCTGGGGTCCAGGCCTGGTTCCTCATTTGTGTGGAGTTACATGGGCTGATCCCTGCCCAGGGGAGCCCGCCAGCTTCACGCTGGTACTGGGCTCGGGGACTGTATAGCAGCAGGACAGACACACAGCTGGGGCAGTTTGCTTTCCCCACACAGCTGGTCCCCACAGATTTCAACTGCACTGACACCAGGGGGGGAACAAGCTCAGTTCTACGGCCCCTGGTGAAGCTAAACCTGAAGGCCTTGAGCCATTGCAGTGCTGGGACTGAGCCAGACTCGACTCAGCCGGGAGATCCTGCAACTGGGCTTCCTGTACGTGCACAGCTCCTTCCCTTGGACAGCCCCCAGCTCCAGCAGGGCCCAGGCTCCAGCCTGCCTGCACTTACCCGCCCTCCCTTCCTCCCTCCCTCCTCCTGCTCGAGCTGGATGCTGCAACAGGACACCGTGTCATTGGAGAAGAGCATAATCCCTCCGCGGAGAGCCGCGGAGCCCTGAATAAAGCATCTTCCTCCTTCTCCGTGGGCTGGGGCTGCACTTTGCAGGCCCTTTTCCCCTTCCCCAGCACATTCTTCCCATTCCAGCTGTGACAAGCTCCCACTTGACTCCCGGCTGACAACACTCCCACTCATTCGAGGCAGCGCCTTCTGGCAGGTTCCCTCTGAGCAGACCCAGCCCTCATTAAAGGCTCCCAATGAAACCCTTTATTCCTGTTGCAGCTTCCACTTCCTTTAGATTCCAAAGGCACTGTTACTGCCTCAGAGTGCCCGGAGCTCTTCCCAGACCCCTCCAGCTGGACCTGGACCCCGCACAGCTCAAATGCAGGAAGCAAACCAGCTGCTTCCACCAGCTTCCCGTGACCAGTGACTCAACCCACACAGCTCTCACTCAGCTTCCTCCTTTTTCCACCTGTAGTAGATCCAGGGGCAGCCTTTTCCTCTGCCCCTCTGTCTCCTGGTCTATAACCAGCCAGGTAATCTTTGTGCCAGGGGGTTGTTTTTTGCTCACGTGTCTGGCTGATGCTGTCCCTGCCCCGGGCTGTTGCTCTCACCACGCAGAGGAGAGGAATGTTCAAGTGAGGAACCTGTCACTACCACGCCGTGGGACATTCAGACAAGTCCTGTGAGCCTTTGATTAGCAGCAGCAATCTAAGGTGTTAAGATCTTTGTGTCAGGCTGCAGCAGCGAGTACAACCAACTCGGCTCCCCAGAGCTGGAAACGACTCAGAATCATTACGTAGGGTGATGTTTAACCTGTAGTCAAAATAAAACCAGATTTAAAAGAAACGAAGGAGCACCAACGTGAAAGGTACAGTAACATTTAATAGCATCTCGGAAGACAACACTGGTTATAAACTTGCTTTTTGGCAGGAAAACAAAATGCACTTGGTCCAGGATTGCAAAAAAGCCAACTCAAAGAGGAAAGATCAGACAGCTGGAGCATCAGCTGGTCTGGGGCAGCCCTGAGCCATTAATGCTCACGAGGGAGCCCTGGTCATGGTGGAGGGTGGCCAGAACAGCACAGATCTCACTTCCAGCCCCATCCATCCCCCCAGGCAGCACAGATGCCACAGATCCCAGCCTTCGCTCCCAGCTCCTCCACGGTGGGTGGTCAGACCCCAACTCTGTGCAGTATTTTTGCATTAAATTAAGACAAACAAAAAAAATTTACTTAGTTGCCATAATGTCTACAGTTGAGATGAAAACGGGGGGAAAAAAAAGGAAAAAAAAAAGGAAGTCAGGCAGCGGAATTTACATTTTTAACAGCAACGAGGAGAAGTGGGAAGTAACATGCAGCCCTAAGCCCTTCTCTCCCGAGGCAGAGGAGGGGGCTGACGGCTGCCCCGCACTTCACACGCCCCGGAGGCTTTGCTGTTTACAGAGGCACTGGAAGCTGCGGTGAGCCAGGCCCGGCTCTGCTCACAGGCCATGCGCAGCGAGCGTCAGACTTTCTTTGGATCCCTCTGAGATGATATCGGGGTTAGGCAGGAGGGAATCGGAGGCAGCTGCAATGAGTTTTGGTCATGGGTTTGTTTCCCTGTGCAGGGAATACAGGTCGCGGTGCCAGGACAGCGCTGACAACCTGGAAGTGAAGGTGGTCGGAGATGAGGGTGCTCAGGAGTGCAGGTAGAGTCCAGGAAGGGAGAGGAGCCGGGGCTCAGGCCAGCTTCAGGAACTCCTGCAGAGTGTTTTGCTCCACTGCTTCCACAAAGAGCTCGTAATCCTGCAGGGAAAAGCCACACGGTCGCTCACAAGGCAAGAGGGTCCCCTGAGAACGTGGCACAAACTGGTTCACAGCACAGGGACCAGTTGGTTGTGCCAAGGATGACAGAGCAAAGCAGGGACAGCACCACACAGCACAGCCCACGGTCACCCAAAGACCCCTGCCCACATCCCCTTTTTCCCCCAAGGCACGGCGCTCCAAACGGCCACAAATCCTGACAGCACCTTGTCTGTGCACCTCATGAGAAATAACTCACAGGGTGTCCTGACACCCTTTGTAGCAAAACCAAGGGGATGGGACTGTCACCCACCACCCAACCTCAGGGTGCTGATCCCCAGCATGGAGCAGGAGCCTCACCCCACAGTACTGGTCTCCGTTGACGATCTGGGGTGGGATGGCTTTGGGGTTGCCTGCCTTTGCCCTCATCTCCTCCCGGAGAGCGTTGTCCTGGGAGATATCCACCAGCTCGTACTTGATGTTTTTCCCATCGAGGATTCTGGTTACTTCGCTCTGTTGGGATTTGATCTGGAGCCCGGGTGGGAAAGGCGGGTTAAAGGGAGATGGAAAAGGGCCCGGAGGGTGGGTGCACACCCCAGCGCGCCAGCCACGCTCAGCACAGCGCTCACGGTGCAGCCCCCACCTGGCCACGGGGGGACACCCAGCAGTTAGGGATGGGTTTGGGGGATGAAGGGGTCGGTGCAGCGAGAGCAGGGGAGGGGATACCTGGGATAGGGCGGGGGGGGGGGGGCTTCGCAGCTCCACGGAAGAGAGACGCCCACCCCCGGGAAGAGGGGCCCCGCTGCACCCACCCCTGCCCGCGGGAGCCCGGGGGCCCCGCCGCCGCTCACCTCCCGGGAGCCGGTCACCGAGGTGCTGTAGACCTTGAGGGTGCTCATGGTGCGATCGCGGCCGCTCCCTGCGCTCAGCCCGGCGGAGGGAGGCTCGGCTGGGCTCGGCTGGGCGGGAGGGACCGAGGGAGGGCGGAGCGGGCGGCCCCGCCACCGCCCGGCATGTGACTGCGGGGGCCAATGGGGCCGGCGGGCACGGGCATGCGGGCTCTGCGGGGCCGGCCCGGGGCCACCGCCCCAACCGGCACCGGGCACCGGGAACCGAGAACGAGAACTCACCGCCACCGCCCCTACCGGCATCGGCACCGAGAATGGGGACTCACGCCACCGCCCCCACCGGGTACCGGCCCGGGCACTGGCCCTGGGGAGCCACCGCCCCTACCAGGCATCGGGTACCGGTCCCGGTGAGCTCCCCCCTCCCCACGCTGCACAGCCTCGCACGGGTGGGTCAGAGCAGCTTTATTTTATAATCAAAATATTCGGTACAAACAAGCAACAAGACACAGGCTGGTACAAACACACTGAGCCCAACGGGACCGGGCAGTGGGGAACCGGGGGAGGGGATGGGGCAGGAAGGTGGGACAGGGCAGGAACGCCATCCTGCCCCCCCCCTGGCCTGGGGTGTTCAGGAGTGAAGGGTCCAAGATTTCCTGTGCACCAGCAGCAAAGGGCACTTGGGATCACCCTCTGAGCCAAATGAGCTCAGCTGTGCAGGAGGATGATGAGGGGACACGTCCCCATGGAGGGGAACACACGACCAGGGCAGCCCAACTGCAGGCACATGGCCAAGGGTGATGCTCCAAAAGCATCAGCCGAGGTGGTTTCAGCCACAATCTCATCTCACAACCAGCTCTGCAGGGGCAGAGGGCAAACATGTCCTCACACAGCACCTGGGAACTAGATCTTGCACCCCAAAGCAAAGGGGGGAAAGGGGATGGTGCTCAACAGCACCCTGAGAACCTGCAGGAGACAGCAGAGCTCCTGGCAGACAGGACAAACGGCTTCAAGGAATAGCCTTGGAAATGTGCTCCCTCAGTACATGGCACCAGCAGCCTGGGGACAGACACAGCCAGACACGTAACACACCAGACACAGGGAGAGCAGCTCAGGACAAACCAACCAATTTCGTTGCCACCACCACCCGTGGTGGCCAAACACTAAAAACAAAACAGATTTGGTCTTAAAATTTAACACAAAGGAATAACAAAAAAGCATTTCTGCCAAACCCAGGGCTCGCAGCCCCAACGTGAACCAAAAACAACCTAACAGCACAAGTTTCAGGAGGATTTTTCCCTGTTACAGCTTAGTATCTTGCTCTTAACTCAAGCTGAAAACAAACAAAGTTCCACCCTCAGCGCCACAGCGTTGTCACAAGCCAGGGCTCGGTACTGTAAAGTTGTCACTATGGTTTAGGGGGGTTGTGGTGCAGTGAAACTTATCCCTCACTGATTTATGTAGAAATCCCATTACTTGCAGAGGAGCAGGGCTACAACAGAGCTCGAGTGGCCACTGCCTTGCAGGAAGAGCTCTCTGTGTCATCCCCCCACATTAGGACCAGTGTGGCTTTCTCCCAGTCAAGCAGCAGAGAGCCAAGCCAGAGGTGTGTCCCCAGGGGCACAGAGGCTCTTGGAAGCTCTGGCAGGGGCCACAGACATTCAGGGCCTCCCAGGATTGTTTGGGATGGCTCTGAAAGGCTGTGAGAAGGAACAGCAGCTCCTCACCTGCCAGCAGATGCATTAGGCACGAAGCACAGTGGGGGCAGAGGGTTTCTCCAGCACATTAAGGCACTTCAGCATCAAGCCATTTCCTCCACAGTCTGAATCACACCCAGCTCCCAGTGCTATTTTGGGGGGGACAAAAGGCTTAAGGCTTCTGGGGTAACAGTGCCCAGGGGGAGCGTTTCCAGAGTCTTTTAGTGTTGCTTTGATTTCCAACTCATGCTGGCTACTGAAAGACTCTGGTTGCATTTACCTGAGGAAAGCAGGTCCTGCTCCATAAATCCAAGCCAGTAGCACCTCAGTGTAAATACCAGCAATATACCTGGCACACCTGCCTGCCTACGAAATCCAGGTATCCTCTGAACACTCCAAGAATCCTCTGGTCTCACAAGTCACACAGGACCTGCACAGGGAAGTTATCAGAAATACCAGGGCATACATTTCCTTTTAGTGATGATTTCAACTGTCACATTTGCATGTTCAGCATTTGACATGCCTGGAAGGCAAGTCAGAATTCAGCCTCCCAGCGTCAGAGACCACACCAGCTCCAGCAAACACAGCATAAAACACATTCCACAAGATCAAAGCTACTGCAAAGCCCAACACCAAAGCCCTGAACGATTCCAGTCAGCAGCTGAACACTTCTGGCAACAAACCCCCTGATCCCTCACAGATCAGATAAGTCACATCTCTGGTACCCGAGCAGAGGGATGGTAAAGTGCTGAATAGGTTTAGGGTTGTAGGAGCTCAAGACTCCTGAGGGTTTCAAGTCTTCATTTCCTGTCTTACTTTGGGGAGTGCTCTTTACTGGGTGATGCAGTTGTCTCCCATATCCTGAGCATATCTGTCAGATATCGCAGTCCTTAACTCCTCCACCTCTTTGTGAAGCTGTTTTACCTCCACCACTTTCTTTGCAAGTCCATCAGGGCTCAGCAAGTCTTCCTTCTCCTTCACAGGGTGTTGCACAGCTGTGGAGTCAGAGAAGGGAGTTTCCTCACATGCAATTCCGACCAAGGATCACACACATTTGCAAGTCAGCCAGAAAAACCAATGGACATTTGCAAAGGAGGTTCTACTTAACATTCACTTATAACAGCATGCACCTTTAGAGCGAGCTAACCACGGAGGGAGGGTTCAGAAAGCCCAGAAAGACAATTCCATGCTATATGTGAGTTATTTAACTGTGCCACAGCACAGGAACGGGGTTTGCTCTGCCATCACTCTCTACTTACAGTGAATGCCCAGGAGCAGAGAGAGGTTGGGGTCCTTGCCCTGAGCCCTCTGAGTGACAATGCTGTAGACAGACTGTAAATCCTGCAGACAGATGGCCAGCTCCCCGTGCAGCTCCTGGGTGAGGCGGGCTGTGTCAGGGGGCAGGGGCTGGGCTGTCAGCTCGGCCTGGCGGAGCCGCTCCTGCAGCGTCAGGTTCTTCTCGATCAGATCCTGGTTCTGCACAGAGAGCTGGACACACGGACACGGCAGGTTAGTGGGCACTTGGGACAGAACTACCACACTTAAAGCATCTTAATGCAGCTGCTCCATGATGGGAGCACTGAGGGCAGGAACTGGTTTACATCCAGCCCTCCAGACTGTCACCAGAGGAGCGTCAGTCCCACATGGGGTGAGAGTTTGGCTCTCCTGGCTCAGACAGGAAGCACCCTGCACCCTCCCTGCTGGGCCATGATGCAGCAAAATAAGCTTCCAGGAGGTTGTGCACCCCAACACTGGCCATCCCTTCCCTCCAGGGCTGCCGTTGTGCTTGGCTTCCTTTAGGCTTGAGAGCAGCTCAGCTCGCAGCCCTGCTGCCCCCAGGTGGCAAGCTCGGCCTCCTCCACCACAGCCCGAGCCCAGCTCAAGTTCCCCAGGCAGAAACTGCCTTTTTCCTCCTGCACTGGAGCAGAGGAGAGCTCCTTTCAGAGTCCTGACAGGACAGTGGACCAGCAGGAAGCAGACGTGCTGCTGACTCCAAATTCAGGGCCTGGCTGAAAGACAATCCTCTGTCCATTCAGTGCCTTGTTCAGGCACTCCAAGCACTCCCTGACCTCTTTCACAGCAGCCCGGAGCTGCTGCAGTGCGTTTTCCCTTCTCATCGCCTCCTCTTTCAGAGCTTGGCTTGTCCCCTCTTCCTGAGCCACCTGTTCTTCCAGGTTCTGGAAGAGATCATGGGAACACAGTAAGTCTAACTCATTTCACAGCAGATTCTCCAGTTCTAGGTCCCTCCCCAGTCACCTCTCACCTTTACTTGCAAGGATAACTGCTCCATCTTCTTCTGCTTTTTGTCCACGATCTGGAATCAAAAGCAGAGGCATCAGAACTGGCCACACAGAGCCAGCAGTACCACCAGGATTTCTCCTCCAGCAGGACAGCACCCCCTCTCTCTTTCCTGTCCATTTACTGCTTTAATCACTGCTGCTGTTAGGACTGGATTCCCTGATAAAAGGCACCATTAGATCTATCAGCTACAAACAGACCAGAGATGTTATATTCTTGTGGTTTTCCTCTCCCCTCTTCTGCATTCTGCAACTTCTCCCCAACGCTGCTGTAGGACTGTGTGGTTTTCACACCAACAACAGCTTTTAGAACCCCCCAGTCTGAATTCCAGGAACTGCTGCTTCAGTGCAGTTGTGACTGCAGAAGTCCCTGATTTCATTTGAGTGCCTGGCGTGACTCAGTGGAAGGAAAAATGTGTGATTCCTGACTGGGGCAGCCCCTTACCTTCTTGAGGCAGTCGCATTCTTTCTTCAGAGAGTCATGTTCCATTTTCTTTCTCTCCCCATCCTGGGCAGTGGGTCCTCTCTCTGCATTCTTTACACACTGCTGCAGCTTATCCTGCAAGCTGAAGTTAGCAAAACACCACGGGGAAAAAACAGCTTTGTTTAAGGTGTTTCCCTCACTTCAAGGAGGGAAATTATTTTCATATCAGATGTCAGTGTTGAACTATTTGCATCCCAGCCCACAAACTGCCAGGGCTGTGCTGGAAGAAGTCCTTGCCCCTAGACACAGCCCCACCTGTGACATTGGCTCACTTGTAGACACAAAAATAGGTCTATTTTGCAAGGAGTTACAGCTGAGGGCAATTACAAACCCAGCTGAGGACACAAACCAACCCAGCTGACAAAACAGGGGCCTCCTTTTTCAGCCACGTGGTTCTGCTTCCACCCTCCACTGCTGGAAGGCAGGATTTGAACATGGTGTTTTGGCCAGCACTCAAAAATCATCACAAATCCACAGTGACCTGCTTCTGACAGGTGGGACAGTGGCTGTGCTGAAGCATCACTGTCCTTGTGCAGCAATTACTGCAGTGCCAAGATGAAGTTTATTCTAATCCTCCTCACTCTTACCTGCGTACAGTGGAAAGAAGCTCCATCTCCTTGTGTTTTTGGGTTTCCAGCTGCATCTCTTGCTCCCTGAGAGCAGCCTGGATGTCTCCAAGCTCTGTTTCCAGTGCCAGCACTGTTTCCTGCAGAGCAGTGCTCTTCAGTTCAGAATCCTTCAGCTGCAACAAAGGGGAGTAACTGCAGCTGTAGAAAAGTCACCTGAGAAAGAATGTGAAGAGCCATCTTCACAACTCAGAGAAAGTTTTACCTTCTGACTCTGTTTCTGGTGCTCCTCAAGGGTGGGCAGATCAGCCAGGTATCGTTCCAGGGTCTCAATTCTCTGCTGTCTCTCTCTGCTCTGTTCAGATTCCTTCTGGCATTTCTTTTTAAGGTTACTAATGTGTTTGTCTCTTCCCTTTACCTGCAGGGATAGAGAGATTTAGTTTATATAATTTCTCATCTATTCTTCAGTCTTCTGTAAGGCCACTCATTTAGCTTTTTTGCACAGAACTCAACACCAAAATACAAGATCACCTTAACTCAGCAGCATTTCTGCTCATTTAGCTAAAGATACACTCTTCTGGTTAAAAGAGGAGGTACTGCAGGTACTTCTACCTGCAGAAGAAAGGGCTTTTGCTTATAAACCAAAGTACTCTACAAGGAGATCAGAAAATACCTGCAGTTACAGACTGCCACAGGAAAGTTCCATCTCAGCACTACACTGACTTTTAGCTATTCTAAGAAACCACACCTTCCCATCTCCAGAGCAATGGGATCATACCCTTTCTTCCTGTTTCTTTAACTCCTCTGCATGTTTCTGCACAGCTTCCTTCAGCGACTCCCGGGCCAGCTTCACATCCACCTCTGCAGCAGCCAGCTTCCTCTCCAGCTCAATGTTCTCCTTACTGAGGGACTCAGTCTTCTCTGTGAACTGTGCTCGAAGGAATGTGTTCTCCCTCTGCAGCTCCTGCAGGCAGAGACAGCCCCCGAATTTGGTTGGTTACAAACTGGCACTCAGCAGCTGTGCTGTCCCAGAGCTGTGTCCTCATCCCTCCCAACTCCTGAACACCACTCAGCCCATCTCACACACTGCAGTGTCCAAAATAGCACTTGTCAGTGCTGCCAGGTGTTTGCATCACTAGCACAGCTGCTAAACAAGCTGTCATCCTTCAGGGCTGGAAATCTCAAGGGTCACTGAGGATCCCAGAGCTGATGAGTAATCAGGACCCCACGCAAAGTATAATTTGACTCCTGCTCAGCAAACACTTAAGGAGAAGTGGGAGGGCCATTGGATTCAATACATGTTTCTTGCTGACACCTGTTGTACCCCATTACCTGCATTCTAAGCATGTAGACATCTCCATAGGATGCTGGACAGCCCAGCAGGGCACTGTGAACCTGCAGCTCACTTTCCCGGACCTTCTGCTCCAACTGGGATATGTGCTGCCTTTGTCTGTAAAAAAAAACCCCTGTTCTCAAACACACAGAAGAGAGCAGCCATGCAACATGAACAGTGCCACCACAACACCACTGCTCCACACAGTGACAAGCAGAGGAGAAAGAACCCTTCAAAACCTTCCCCCAACAATGATTTTATAAAGCACACAACCCTTGCATGTTTTGGAGGCTGCAGCTTGGCTGTGGAACTTATGAGTGAAATGAACAGACCCCTTATAAAACACAGAAAACCATAACCAAAATTAACTTATCTGAACCCTTCAGGAACATCATCCTAATTCCAAGGGGAAGAGAGCTCAGGCTGTTCTCAAGGGTCATTCTTTGTAATAAAAAAAGCTCAACTAGGACTCTGAGAAATGAGCTTTCCTTGGTACTTTCCAAACGCTTCCTTTCCAAAAGGAAATGTACTGGAGTCAAACCCTCACCTGTCAATGAGGAGCTCTTTCTCCTTGAGTAGGTTTTCATTGGAGTTCAGGATATTGATCCACTGGGCTGGATCAGGTGGAGGCAGTGATGGAGAGTACATCGAGGAATGGGGGCAGGTGCCTCCATTTTGTAACTGCAGGAGGGAACAAAACAAGGAGGGAGAGGTTTGTGCCCCACAGAGGTAATTGCAACATTGCTGGAGCTATTTTGCACACTGTGTGCTCATCTCCATGCCAGGACACGGCTATTTCAGGCTCTGTTGATGTCCAAGAACAAGTAACTTTGCCCAAGCACAACTGGAGATTAACAAATAATTTTAGATCACTGTGCTAGCTCACTGGAAACAATTTGTCTCCATTAAGGTACAGCTGGTGGGAGGTGGTAAACAAACTGTTTCCACCTAGTAAACTGCAGTTAGTTTTGTGCATCTTTAAAAAAAAAAAAAAAAAGTTTTTCTTAACCCTAGATACAGAATAAAATTATTCTAGAAACTATTTAGAACCTCTTGGCATTCTTTTACTCTGCAGTTTCTAGCAGACAAGGTATTTTACCTCTTGATCTGGACTCTGGTGCAGCACTGTAACATAATCCAGAGCTGCTCTACATATGGAGTGTGTCAAATGACACCTGTGACACCACATGCTGTAAAAACAGATCATTAGGAGTCTTTCAGTGTCACACAGGGAGAAGCAGGAGACATTTTCCCCCTTGCTTTCTAAGTCTGGCACAATGATTCCTGACTAAAGGGTTTCAAACTGCTACAGCCACACAAGCAGCTCCCTACCTGCATCTGCTCCACCTGCAGTCGCACTTTGTCCAGCTGCTGTTTCCAAGCATTGAGCTCACAGACCCCCTTGTGTGGATGGAGGGTGCATCCTTCTGGCACCCATGCTCGGGATGGAGGAGTCACTACAGGTTTTGAGAAGAAATTGTTGGCCTGGAGTCCCGTTGGCATCGCTCTGCTCCCGCTCGGCCACGTCCCGTCCCGGGGCTCACAGACCCCGTTGGGCCCTGCCCCTTGTTTGCTCTCTGGCAGCACCTTAAAACGATCCTTCCCTGCCTCAGGGTTTGGACTGAGCTTCTGGAACCTGTGCTGAGGGTCAGCACACAAACTGTCCAGAAAGAGAGACTGGTTCAGGGTGCGCTCCATGGCAGGGGTGTCAAACTTCCAAGGGTCTTCTGTTCTCATGGGATCAGCAGCAGGAGGCCAGGGTTGCTCAAAGCCATTTTCCCCTGAAGTCCCGTAGAGCCGCAGGAGATCCCTGGGTGGCACCTGAGATGACTTCCCAGAGTTAAAATCCCCGTTCCTCGTGAGCCCTGAGTGTTCAGAGGCAGATCCTGGCACAGCAGCCTTTGAAGTGTGCTGGGAACAGCCCTGGTCTCCTGCAGAGCACAGCTTGGAGGGTGAGGCACCCAGCGTGGAAGGCATAACGTGGGCTGTTGGAATGGTCACCTGGGTTTTGATGGGGTGGAATGAGGAACCGTTACTGGAATTGCAAAAATCTAGGGGAGAAAAAAAAAAAAAAGAGTGATATTCTGATTACAGTCCTGAAAATACACTCCTACAGTGAATTTTCCAAAATAACTTTAAAACTAGTTGCTTTCCCCCTCAACATATCCTCCTAATCATCATCAGCAAGCCTCAAGCACACCTATGTTCCCCCTCCCTACATGTTTCAGGAACCTGATGACATTTTCCTACCACCATAAACTGCAGGGAGAATCCAGGTTTAATCCAGTTCACATTTAGTCCTCATTTTTAAGCTTCTCTAGCATAATCTTAAATCAGTCAGGTTATCTTCCTATAGGTTTAGAAATCAAGTCCTTCATATCAAACAAAAAGGCTGAAACTTACTCAGTTGAACACTGAGACGGTGATTCTGCTCTGCCTGTCCCACTGCGACTCCAAACCATAACCAGAGCTAACAGGAGCCTTCCCTGAGCCCATGGTGAGCCTCAAACATAGCTGAACTCGAGGGTCTGACCTTCCAACTCCTCCAGGACGCTGCGGCAAAAGAGCCTGCAGCAATGGCTCTCACCTTATTGCCACAGGAAGTGAGGCAGAGCCCGTCCTGCCAGAGGGGCACCAAACCTGGCTGCACAGACAGGGGTTATTCTTAGCAACTCTCAGATTTCAATACAGCAACAGCAAGAGCTTACAAAGGCAAACAGTCAAGTGCCCCTTCCCACTCCTTGTCCCGATACGTTCTGTATCGCAGGAATTCCAGGGTTCTCCCAAGTACACAAACTTGTTCTCCTCGTGGCTTTGGCCAAAGGCCCATCCCCACGTGATGTTCCCTTAATGCAACATCAGGACTGCAAGTCACCCTTCCACCTGTTTGTACCCTCCAAGCATTGCTACATAAGGAATGAACATTACAATTCAAATATGACCAAAATCAGGTTCTGCAAAGACCATCATCGCACTGCAGGAAAACTACCCCAATAATGGCACTAGATCCTTTCATCAGAAGTGAGCAGTGAGGGGGAGAAGATCTCTTTGCTGCTACTTGGCTGTGGCTCTGGGACCTCCAGAGAACACTGTGCTACTGGATAGTCACAAGCATGTTCACCTTGGCAAAAGAAGAGACAGTACCATTTCCCTTTACAGCCCCTAAATTTATCCCCCGGTGTCACTGTCTGGAACTCGAGTTCCCTGACCAAGATGCCACATGCAGGTGCTGCAATGGGTTCCTTGAGTGTGCTAAGGGTCATCACAACATTTCTGACTAATGTACTGAGCTCAGAGTGCCTCAGCCAGTGGCCAGGGCTGCAGGTCAGCCTCAGCTCTTACAAACAAGGCTGTGACAACACCAGCACTCACACGGGTCACTTCCTGAAGGGAAATTATCACTTCCCCTGCCCTCACCTGCAACTGGGTGTTTTATTACCCTGAGAGAGGCTTGATGGACACAAACACGTGCTCATGTAATATTTCCAGCAATATTTCCAACAGCCAGACTTTCCAAAGCCTTCAATTTACCCACACATGATTAAGACCTACAGCTCATTCCAAAGGCTCAACGCAGCTTCCTGAAACAGATGTGTGAAGTGTTTTAAAGCACACCACAAACTTCCTGACTGCTGAAAGGAGAGTCAATGAAGATGAAAATACAGGTGGAAAGGATTGCTGGGATGAGCAATTTCACAGGATGTGCCTCAGCTGAGGGCCAGGCTCTGAGTTCTTCAGTGAGAAGCACATGGCTAACACTGAAGAGACAAACAATTCTGCACAAAGAATAAATTATTATAAATTATTTCTTAAAAAAAAAAATAAATCACATAACAGACTTGCTGATAAATCACTTGTTGGTCAATATGAACCAGCAAATCCCCAAGGTGGCTCTTAGTTAGTTAAAACCACTGGAGGTAGATGATAAGCAAACTAGCTCAGAGAAACAGCCAGTGCCTTCATCACTTGGTTATATTCCAGGCAGCATATCCAAGGCACTGGATTTGAAACAGCCTCCAAACATCATTAGAGGTTCTGCTCTCCAAATTTACACTCTGGGAGCCCATGGGGACCATCACCTTCCGTGCTGTCCGAGCAGGAGGTCCCAATGCCCCCATCCCCACTGTCGGCCACACTCGGACAGCGACTGACGCGGCTCTGGGACTTCATGGACAATGTGGGTGTTTTCCAGTCAGTCTCCAAGAACTTGCTCTTCTGACTAGTGCTGGGGCCTAGAGAGATAAAAAAAGGGATATTTATGCTTCAGCCAACAGACTGAAAAAACCTTTTAATACCATCAAGCAATATCTAATTACCAGCACTTCCAAAACCCAAACCGATCCTTGCTTCGCTCCCTGTGTTATTGCTAAATAAATCTCTTTTGCAAAAGGAAATGGCAGCAAGACCAGGGAAGTCAAATGATATCAACAGGAGACTGAAAATCAATCTTGTTATGGAAGTCAGAATGCAAAAGTGGTAAATTATATTCCCATTGATGAGTCTGATGATATCACACCCAGCTGATGCTCTGGTACTCAGACTAAAAAGAGCAGCAGCAGCACAGCAGAACTGGCTAAATTAAAAATGTATTTTTTGCATTAACTATTAAGCACTCTCCCAGATTCCTCAGTTATTGTTTAAGAGAGAAATTAATTATCAAATGATTCTCTGCCTTTAGTGTATTTTTGCAGGAATAAGACTTCTCTGAACAAAAAGCTTCTGGTAAAGAATCTTCTCAGGGCCACGTGTCCTCTCAGAGAAGCTGAAACAGGATCCGACAGCAGCAGGGCTTTAGAGAAAGGACTGTCCTTACCCAATGGATTGTTCTGCTGGAGCCTCAGGTCTGCATCTTTCCCAGGAGCAGCCATCTTATCCCTCCTGTGAACTGGATAAATAAATATAAATCATATTTTAAGTCAGTATAACCCAAACTCTGTTCCCAGTAACCAAGCAAAGGGTCCATACACATCAGAGTAACACGGTATTTTGTATTTAATTAGCATCTCCTGCCAAAAATATCTGTTTTTTCCCCTGCAGCAACAGAGGCAATACTTAACTTAAAAGAGGTTGTTTTTTTCTTTATGCCTGAAAAATGAGGATAATTCTTGTTTGCACCACTGTACACACAGCAGCTCAGCAGCACCTTTCAACTGGTGCATGTGTTATCCTCATGGCAGGTATTTATAGAGCACCAGTCACCACGGTACCTACACACTGACTCTGTGTCTACAGAGACTACAAATTTATCTTTAAAAGTCTTAAGTCTCCACCAGATCATTCCTGCCCTCTGTAGAGGTCACTGAGCAACTACATGAGGAATAAAGTCCTTCAAAAATCAGCCTTGCTGTTCCATGCATGGCAATTTTTATCTATCCAGAGCTTTGGGTTAATTTATCTATTTCTCTGAGTACTTCAGACAGTGAATTTCCTGTCTCTGATAACACAAGTGCAATTTACAGCTCTCAGGCTACACTGTGGAAATTCAAGGCCTCTCTCCACCCAGACTAAACCCTCAATTGGCAGCTCTTACTGATTCTTGCTAAACTGATTCAAAGAAGCCATTAATTCTTAGAAAACATACACATACAGATTTTACAACATAGGATGGATATTGGGAATATAACAGGATAATGAACCAGAAGCAGCATTCCACTCAGAGAAGAAATAAAACACTTCCAGGTAAATGTAGTGCTTATCATAATTTAGGTACATTTAGGTAGAAATTAGTAAATTGGATGTATTTCCGAAATTCCCCAGTTTAAATCTCAGTCTCCAGCACTACGGTCAGACAGTTCTAATAGGGAAATTCAAGCATGGGCTCTTGGAATAATAAACAAATCCAAACAACCAGAGCATTCCCACCACACTCAGCACCACCCTCCCAAAACCACACGCAGACCCCCTCGGAGAGAACCCCCCCGCCATCCCACAACCCCTCCCTTCCAGCAGCAGGTACAGGAGGTGGGAAGGGAGTGGTGGGTCGTGGAAAGGGAGAGAAACCACACGGAAGGGGAGGGCAGGTACACGGATCGATGTGAACCCGGGGTGGGGAAGAGGATGGGGAGAACAGTGATGCGGGTGGAGGGAGGAGAGAGGGGGAGGTGGGTGACCTGGGGCGGGGGGAGGGACACAGGACCCCACCTGGAAGGCACAGGCTGAGCCTGAGGGGTGAGAAACCCTGGGGGGCAGGAGGGGTCAGGCCATGAGGAGTCGGTTCCTGAGGGCTTGAAGGGGTGGGTCCCTGGGGGTCCGGTCCCTGAGAGGGCGAGGGGGGGGGCCGGCCCCTGGGGGAGCGGGCCCTTGAGGGGCGGGGGGGGGCCGGTCCCGGGGGGGGGGGGGGGGTGTCTGTCCCTGAGGGTCCGGTCCCTAAGGGGCTGGAGGTCCCGGGGTGGAGGTGGACAGTCCCTGAAGGGCCAGTTCTCGAAAGGCCGGGGGAGGCGGTGGGTCAGTCCCTGAGGAGCTGGGGAGCGGTGTCCCGGTGTCGGTATCCCGGCGATGATTCCCGGTGTCCCATTCCCGCTCCCTCACCTGCCTCCGCCGCGCCGCGCGCCGCGACCGTTACCCCCGCCCGCCTGGGGAGGGGGGCGTGGCATGGGGGACGGGGCGGGGCCTCCTCACGGGCCGCAGCCAATCCAGCGCGCCGGCCCCTCCCCTTCCCGCCTCTCATTGGCTCGCCCCGAATGCTGTCCCCGCCCACTCCGCAGCGCCGCGGAGGGAGCGGCGGGTGCGGGCGGGGGAAGAGTGTCCGCGGGCGGCACCCGTAGGGCGGGGGCTGAGGGAGCCGGGGGGGCTCAGCCTGAGGAAAAGCGGGATCAGGGGGGACCTTCTGGCTCTCTGAGACCCCCTGACAGGAGGGGGGAGCCAGGCGGGGACTCTGCTGGCAGGGGACAAGGGACAGGATGAGGGGGAACGGCCTCAAGCTGCGCCAGGGGAGGCCCGTGTTGGATATTGGGAAAATTCCCCCATGGAAAGGGGTTGTCACCGCTTCCCAGGGCAGTGGTGGAGTCACCATCCCTGGGAGCGTTCAAAAAACACGTTGATGTGGCGGCTGTGGGCATGGTTTAGTGGTGCTGTTCAGCTGGATGCCATAATCCCATTTCCAGCTTAAACAATTCCACGATTTTATGGCTTCAGCGCCGAGAAGAAAAAAAACAACACGGCACGACCAGCGCCTGTCAACACAATTTATTTACATCACAAGAGACCCCCACCTTGGCACAGCACCACAGCGAGGGGCACGTCCCTCCAGGAACAGCCCCCCCCCCTTCCCTCTGCCAAGCCAAAATGTCCTTGGGAAAAGTAAGACTCAAAAGTGTCCTTGGGAAAAAGTAAAAGACTCGTCCCAGCGACGCCCCCACCCCGGGGAGGGAGGTGGATGCAGCAGGAGCCACTGTCTCTGAGCGACGAGCCTTCCAAAAATGTCCTCTGCCCCCCGAGCTCTGCCGGCACCGATCCACGCCAGGTCCTGGTGGGATGTCAAGGTCCAGCCGCCTCTCCAGGGGGGTCCTGCTCGCCCCCGAGCCCCCCGTCGTGGCCCTGGCGCTGCCGCCCTGCCCACCCCTCCCGCAGCTCCTGGTACAGCTCCTGGTGCTCCTCCTTCCAGCGCCTGAAGGTGTCCGAGGTGAGCGAAGCCTCTCCCAGCAGCTGCTCCAGCGCCTCCAGCTCCACCAGCTTCGCCTGCCCGGCACAAGGGGGAGGTTTTTGGGGCGGCCACCCGCGGGCAGGGGGGGTTTGGGGAGGGGAAATCGCGGGGGCTGGAGGGGGTCCCACCTTGAGCGTGCTCTGCAGCGCCCGCACGGCGTGAACCCTCTCGTTGATGTGCGGGTTCTTGTTGCGCCGCAGGAAGGATTTTCGGCACTGCTCCTGCGTCAGGAACCGCCGCTGCCCGATGAGGGACACCCCCCCCTGCTTCAGGCACCGCATCAGGCTCTCCAGGTCCTCCCCGGCGGGGTCTGGGGGAGGAGAGGGGGGCACTGGAGCAGGAGGGGAGCCCCCAAACCCCACGGGGCTCTCCCCCTGCATGTGAGTGGGAGGGGGGAGTGCAGAATCGTGGAAAGGTTTGGGTTGGAAAGAATCTGAAAGTTCACCCAGTTCCAACCCCTCAGCACGGCAGGGACGCCTTCCACTATCTCATGTTGCTCCAACCTGGCCTTGGACACTTCCAGGGATGGGGCAGCCACAGCTTCTCTGGGCAACCTGTGCCAGGGCCTCACCACCCTCCCAGCAAAGAATTTCCTCTTAATATCCAATCTGAACCTACTCTTTTTAGTTTCCCCCTTGCCCTGTCACTCCATGCCTTTTTAAAAAACCCCTCTCCATCCTTCCTGTAGGCTTCCTTCACCCCGAGATGGTTCACACTCCAACACACCCCAACTCGAGTTACCCCCCAGCACACACACACAGAGAAAAGGGAGGCCCTGACTGTGATTAAAGGGTGCACACAAGGTGACAGTGTGACAGATGCCACCCCCAGCACCTACCCATGGGGGAGCAGGGCCGGGGGCTGCCCTGGGGGCTGCTGGACTCGCCGCTGGCCGGGGAGAGCTGGGCTTTCTCCTGGGGGCTCTGCAGCCTCTTCCTCGGCTGGGGGAGAGATGAGGCGGGAGGTGAGATGAGGAACCTCTGTCCCCTGCCCAGGATGTCCCCCAGGGCCACTCACCGAGTCACATCCGTGCCTGGGGGACTCGTCATCAGGGTCCTCAGCCTCCGTCTCGCTGTAGCAGTCTGGGGAGGGCAGCGGGAGTGGGAAGATTCCCCCCTCAGGGCTGAGCATCATCCCAAGCCCCTCTCAGGGGGAGTTTTCTCACATTCCCACAAATCACAGGCAAAGATCCCAGCAGTCCCACACAAGGGATATGGCACCAGGCACAGCTGCCCCACCAGGACCTCCAGGTCCCCCCAGGGTCCCCATCTCCCACTGACCCCACCTCCCACCCCGGAGAAGGGCTCGTTACCTTCCTCCTTGTCTGGGACCGACTGGTGGGCGAGTGTGTACTTTGTTTTGGCTGTTATGAGCCGACTGACCCACCTGGGGAGGGAAAGGACAGACAGACAGGCAGAGGAGGGTCCTGGCCAGCCCAGGAGTGGCAGGACTGGCACTGACCAGCACCGGTGGGTGTGTTACTCACATGCTCAGGTCAGCCAAGGTTTCGGCAGCGAAGACAAAGGGCTTGTACTTCTGGTGGCACAGCTGGAACACACTGAGGACAAGCAGGTGGCTGCTGTGGTGACACAGAACCAGCCACAAGCCCCCTCCAGCCTCCCCATTCCAATCCAGCCCAGGGGTCTGGGCTTCTCCCTGCCCTGGGAGATGTCCTCGGCCTCATCCCAGGTAATACCAGGAGCAGAGTGCACGTCTTGCTCAGTGCTGAGAGAACATTGCAAACCCTTTGGGGACTCCACCAGGCCCTTGGAGCCCCTACCAGCCCTACAGGGACCCCACCAGGCCCATGGGGACCCCACCAACCTTGTGGGGACCCCACCACCACATAAAGGCCCCACCAGCCCTGTGGGGACCCCACAGCCCTGCAAGGACCCCACCAGCCCTACTGGGACCCCATGAGGCCCATGGGGATACCAGGCAATCCTCTGAAGCTCTGAGAGGACCCCACAAGCCCCATGGGGACATGCAGGTGGTACCCAGCAGGATTCATCAGCACATGCCCAGCATTCCCCCCCTTCCACCACCAGCTGGGAGGTGAGACAGACCCCACTCACTATTTCTTCTTCTGCTCCCTCGTGCTCTCCAGGTCGTAGGTGGCCACGTTGATGAGTCCTGCAGCCTTCTCATCCTGTGAGGAATGGGGACAGTGTGTCCAACACCACCACCTTGGGAAATCCCAACTGCCCAGTTGGGGGGACAAGGGCACCCAGTGGCCCCCACTCACGTTGGGGTGGTTGTACCAGTAGAGCGTGTGGCCCTTCAGCACGAACCAGCACCGCTTCCACTTCTGGGCCATGAAGCCCACGTGGTCCTTCTTCTTGAGGAGCCACCCATCGCAGTCCACCCGGCCCAGGTCCCGGCACGAGACCCGCCGGCGGCTCAGCCTGGTCGCCACTCCTGCCACCGCGGCACCAGGGGGGGGTCAAGGCAGGGGAGGGGGAGCAGAGTCCCCCTCCCCGGGGGAGCCCCCAGCCCCCTTCACCCCAGCCTGGCAGGGTCCTGCTCACCTTTTGGTCTGCGTCCTGTCTGGGGGCTGCCCTGGATGGGGAGATGGAGATGAGCATTTAGGGATGACACGGTGGGGGGGTGAGGGCAGGGCAGCGTTAGCTGAGCCCCCCCAGCAGCACACACAGCCCTCAGGGACCCCCTTAGGGAACCCCAACTTGCACACACACAGCAGCGAGCCCAGAGGGGAGCTCAGAGGGGAACCAACCCTGGCAGAGGCGTTTTGACTTCACCACAGGCAGGACACAAAGTCCTCTGTTCCCCCTCCACTCTGATACCCTCCCAGTGTCCCCTCCCAGCTCTCACCTCCCCAGGGAGCTGGCAGGGCTCTGCACCCCCAGCCCCCGTGGTGGGGGCTGCCGTGGGGCTCAGCTCTGTGCTGCAGGGTCTGGTGGCAGCAGAGGTGTCCAGAGAGTTTGGGTTGCCCGGTGGGGTGCCCAGGGGGGTGTCCAAAGGGGTGTCCAAGGGGGTGCCGCTCTCCCACTCCTCCTCCTCTGCAGCGCCTGCGAACAGCGAGCGGGGCTGCAGCCTCCTGTCCTGCGGGGAGATCTCTCAGTCCCCGCCTCTTCTCCCGTCCTACCCCGTCCTGACAGTCCCGGCAGCTCCTCCACGGCCGCCCCGGGCAGCCTCAGGTCCTGCTCGTCCTCTTCCTCCTCTTCGTCAGTGACGGGATCCGGCGCTGAGTCCGGCCCGGAGTCCAAGTCGGCACCGGCGCTGGGGGAAAATGGGATTCCTGAGCCGCAAACCTCTTTGACGTCTGCAGGGATCCCACTCCCGGCCTCTGGGTGGGGCACCCGCGGTTCTCCCCGCGCGGGGAGTGGGGCTGGAGGGGACGCGGTGGTGGGGGCTCAGCACCAGCTCCGCCAGACCTCCGTGGTCCCCGGCAGGGTGGGAGCCCGGCCGGTGTCTCCTGCCCGCGCTGCCGTTGGCTCCCCGCACGCCTTTCCATTCCGGGAGAGGAGAAGGGTCATGTCTAAATATAGTTTCAACCCCACTAAAACGTTACCAAGTGAATGAATTACAAACACAACCCACTTTTTTTTTTTCCGTTCCTTAAGGCTACTGGGCAGCTCCCCGGGCCGCTCGCAGGCAGCTGCTGGGACTCCTCTGCCCCCAAAAAAGAGCTGGGAAGGGGCCTTGGGGGCATCCAAACAGCTCCTTGCTGGCCGGATTGGGGGGGTTGGGATGTCGGGATGGGGCTCACCTGGAGGTCAGGGACACGGGGCTGCCTGGGCAGTCGCCACTCCTGGTGCCGGGGGAATCTGCAGCATCCGAAAATGCTCCCGGGAGCTGTGGATGGAGTGTCAGGGACAGCCCCACCCCAGCACGGACCCCAGAGCTTTAGGGATCACCAGTGTGATGGGAGATGCCTGGCTCTGAGCGTCTCTGCCTGGTTCCCAGCACATCCCAGGAAGGCAGTTGGGATGAACTGGGAGCACCGGGATCACTCACCCGCTGTCTGGGAGAGGGGGGTGAGCCGTGCAGGTCAAGGGGGATCTTCTTCAGCACCAGCGTCACCTCGTTTGCCTTCTCCAGCAGCTTCTTCTCCAGGTTGATGCGCGTCCAACCCACCTGCACAGCCCTGCAATGAGCTGTGGGACATGGCCCTGGCCCCATGGCTGCTGCATCCCCCAAACCCTCCCCAGACACAGATCCCACATCTCTCAATCCCCCAGTGGTGGCTCCTGTGTCCCTCAGACCATTCCCAGCCATGGGTCCTGCTTTTTGCAGATCTCAACTCCTATATCCCCCCAAGCCCCCCCAGCTACAGTCCCCCTAAAATCCTCCCAGTCACAGGTCCCATGTCCCCCTCAAATCCTCCTGGCTGCATGTCCTGTGTGCACCCAAAATCCTCCCAGCTGCACTCCCCATATTCCCCCAGCCCTCCGGGCCCTGCAGCTCCATGTCCATGACTTCCCTGCCAAAACCAGCCCCGTCCCCTCTTACTCACCACGACCTGCTCATTGACCTGCACGATCTCGTCCCCGGGCAGGATGTGCCCCCCGTGGGCAGCCAGGGCCTGGGCAGAGGCAGGGTGGGAGTGGGGTGCCCAGTCCTGGGTTCCCACCCCCTCTTCCCAAGCTAATCCACACTCAGGATCTCTCCCGGATGGGGAGGGATTAACCATTAACCCGACCTTTCATGGCAGTGGCCGGAGCTGCCCAGGTGGGATCGGGGTGCAGAGGGGGCTCCCCCTGTGCCCAGGCTGTGCTCACTCATGACATGAGTTGCACGGTCTCAGCTGCAGACAGCCCCCCCAGCTCTGGGTCGGGACGTGGATTAGGGCCCTAAGAAGACCCCATGGACTGGAGGAAATCCCAATGGCAGGTGCTAAAAGGGACAGGGTGGCACTTGGGGGGTGGCAGACAGGGAGGGGCAACCCCTCGCTCACCTCTGAGGTGGTGGCAGACACGAAGTGCAGGCAGGAGCTGGTGGAGGTGATCTCAAAGCCCTGAGGGGGGACAGGAAGGGGGCTTGAGCAGGGATCTGGGGAGGTCCAGAGGCAGTGGGGGGCACTGGGGTGGTGGGGACTCACCAGTGGGGTGGTGATGAGTGTCAGGGGGTCAGAGGGTGGCACCAAGGTGTCAGGGGACACTGGGGGGCTCCCCCATGGGCTGAGGGGCAGCGTTGGCGAGTCAGGGGATGTTGGGGGGCTCTGCCACAGGCCTGTGGGCAGCAATGGGGTGCTGGGGGACCTCGGGGGGCTGCCCCTTGGGCCGGAGGGCAGCACCAGCCCCACCTGCTGCAGCACAGCCCTGCGGTCCAGCAGCGCCGGGGGGCTGCAGCCCACGATGCTCTCGCAGATGCCCACGATGTGCTGGCACTGTGGGTGACAGCGGGGGGGCTCAGATGGGCCCTGGCAGCCCCCCCCCCGTGCCTGCCACCCCCTCCTCACCCACAGCACTTACAATCCGCAGGATCTGGCTGTCCCTCTCAGCCACGGGACAATCCTGGGGGAACAAGATGTGGGGATGAGCGGGAAGGGATGGGTCCATCCCAGCTGGGGAGACCCCATGGGGAACCCCCCTTGCACCAAATCCCCTCTCACCCCACCTCCAGCCCGGCAGAGCTCTGGGGGGACAGGAGAGCTGCCAGCTGGCTCCCCAACCCCGACACTGTGCCCATCACCCACCGCCTGCAGCGTCTCTGCCAGCTGGGCACACAGCAGGACGATGTCCTGGCTGGCTGAGAAGTCATTGAGGGTGGAGAAGAGGTACCTGGAGGGGGACACAGAGCTCAGCCCCTGGTGTGGGGGTCACCCAGCACCCAGAGGGGCCCTCACCTGCCCCGGACCTGTTGAGCCAGGAGAATAGTCCCTTGGCAGCCCCGACCAGGTCGATGACTCGGGCCAGGAGGGCGAGGGAGGGCAGCTGGGGGGCATCCCCTGCTGACAGCCCCCCCAGCACCAGGCTCTGGATGCCCTGTGCCAGCTCCTGCAGCCTCTCTGTCAGGGTCCTCAGGCTGGTGCTCGCCAGCCCTGCATCCTGGGGGGAACATGGATGCCAGGGGATGGGGGGGCAGTGGGGATCTCAGGGGTGTCTCCACATTCCCACCTTCACTCAGCCCTGATTCCCAGCTCCAACCAGCACAGTGCCCTCACATCCCTCCACCACCGAGTTCAAGGTGCCCCAGTGTCCCCACTTTCACGCAGCCCAGGGTGGGAGCCTACATCCTCCTTCTCCAGTCCAGGATGCCCCCATGTCCTCCCCTTTATCCAGCCCAGGGTCCCCCCACATCCCCTCTCCAATGAGTCCAGGATGTCCCCACCTTCACCCAGTGCAAGGTGACCCCCATGGCCTCCCTTTCACCCAGCCCAGGGTGCCCCCAAATCCCCCCTTCCTCCCTGGTTTCCCCACAGCCCCTGGGGGTCCCTGCACTCACCAGCTCACGGAGCTGCTCCACGGCCTCCAGCAGCAGCTCCTGGTGCCCCAGGGGCCACACACCCAGTGCCTCCAGGACCTCCACATCCAGCCCCAGCAGGTCAGGCCCTGCCAGCTCCCAGGCCTCGAAGGGGTACCCCTGCACCGCTGCATCCAGCCCTGCCACAGACCAGCACCCCCCCGCCGGCTGGGTGACCCCAGGGCGTGACACCTGGCTGATGGCACGGCCCTCTTCATGCAACGAGTTCACCCAGTCCCAGCCTAAAGGGTGGGCACAGCCAGACCCCCACCCACAACAAGATCCAAGGAAAATGCCCCCTCTCAGGGAGAGAAGATGAGGGACAAGAAGCGCTGCCACCCCCCCAGCCACACCAACCCACCCACATGTCACCAATCTGGGGACACCCCACCCCAGAGCCACCAGTGGGGTGTCCCCTGGGTTGGGAGGGGCAGGCAGGAGGGGTGGGTCTCACCTCGGAGCCAGGCGGCCACCTCTGCGGGGCCCCAGGAGCCCACGGGCTCCATGGCGGCGGGGCCGGAACGGGCGGCAGGAGCCGGGAGCGGGAGCTGGGAGCGGCTCCCACCTGTGCCGGGAGCGGGAGCCCCATTGGAGCGCCCGGGTGCCGCTCACCTGCCCAGCGCCATCCCACGGGGCGAGGCCCAGGTGAGTCACGGCGGGATGGGGACGGTGACGCACGGCCGCTGGAATCCCCCCTGGAAAATGGGGCTGCTGGAACCCTCCTGGAAATGGTACACGGTGTGTTTTACCCCCCCAAAACCGCTGCGTGCAGTGAAGGCCCAACAGCACTCGTTACACTAGTGGGAGACCCCCAGCTGCCCTGTTTGGCCACACAGACCCCCCTAGAAGAGCCTGAGGGAGCCCCTGCTCAGCCCCCTCCCCACCGGTGTCCTCGCTGGCCCCTGGCCGGGTGACCCCAGGGGGTGACACCTGGCTCGTGGGAGAGCCCTCTCCATGCAACAAGTTTGCCTGGTCTCAGCCTAAATGGTGGTGATGACCAGACCCCCACACCACCCTCAACGGAATCCAAGGAATGACACCCTCCCAGCGAGAAGAGATGAGGGACGGGAGGTTTTTGGGGTGTCACCCCCCGCCCAAGGCACATTCACACCCCTTCCTTTGCGAGGGAGGGGAATCGAGGCAGGGGGCAGCCCCCATACAGGCCTGCAGAGTCCCATGGCTGAGCCTGGCTCTTCAGCCCCCCCAACGTGTCCTGGGCTGGCTCCGGCCCCCCCGCCAGTGCCTGGGCTCCCAAACCCCCCCGCCCTGCGTGTGCGCTTGGGGGAGCAGCGGGCGCTGATCGCGGCTGACAGCGGCTCCGCGCTCGCCCGGTGCCGCCCTTCCCGAGGGGGCCGCGGGGCCGGCGGCCGGGACACAGGCACGGACCCCTCGCCGTGCTCAGGGCAGGGGTCCCCGTGTTGGGGGGTCCCAGCCCTGCCGCCGCCGCCCCACGGGGGCTGATCCTGCTGCTCCCCACCGCGCCATGATCATCCGCCCCAAGCGCTTGACCCCGGGGTACTTCCGTCTGCTCCAGGTAAGGGGGCGAACAGGGTTGGGGGCAGCCCGTGGGGACCCCCGGGGATGGTGCCCGTGTCGCAAAGCAGGCCTGCTGGCCATGGGAGCCATTCCCGGCTCCATCCCAGCTCCATGCTAGCAGCGAGGGTGCTGGCAGTGGAGTCCCGCAAGTGCTGCTCGCAGCACCCCAAAAGCCCCCCTGGACACCCCATGGGGGGCATAAAGCTGCCCCCTTCCCCTGTACACCACCAGGCGCGATGGAGACATTCAGGGCACGGGCCCAGGCCCCCTGTTCCTGTGGGGTTTGGGATTTGGGGTGCCCCAGCGCTCCCCTCTCCTCTCCTCTGTCCCCCCACAGATGCAGCTGGCGGCAGGACGGGGGGCCGAGCCGGGGGGGCGGCTGCTGACCCCCCTGGCCCTGCTGCTGGCGGCTGCCGGGCTCTGCCTGTCCCTCTACAGCGCCCGCAGAATGGCTGACCCCGCCAAGGCCCCCCCGGCGCCGTGAGGAGGGGGCTGGCGGGGCCGTGGGGACAGTCCCCAGGGGGGTGTCGGGGTCCCCCTCCACCCGCCATCCCCCGTCTGAGCGGAGCTGCGGCGACTTTCCGGCTGACCTGCGCCACATCCAGCCCTTCCCGCCACGCCTGGGCACGCCATGGTGCCCTGGGGAGGGGGGACACGTGCCTGTCCCTGTCTGTCCCTGCTTTTGGAGCCGGGATGGAGACTGGAAAAGCCACCTCCAGCTCCAGAGCTGCCAGATGAGCCCCTTCCCGAACCGCTGCGAGACACCAGGATCCGGCCACGAGACCAGAGGCTGAACGGGCAGACAGACAGATGGTGGAGCCGGGAGCTGCGTCCATCTTCATCTCCCACTGAGGCAGAGGGGCCTAAGGGGCGCCTTGTACCCCGCTGGCAGCCACAGACCCCCTCTGTCCCTGTGGGAATGTGCCAGGAATGAGGCCAGCACTGAGCGCCATTAGGTAACGGGGCAGGGGGGACGTGGGGCCACGGGGTCGGTGACGTGTCCCCTGGGCAGGTACATCCCGCTGGAATGGCGGCTGCAGCCTTTCCGACCTCCCCTCTCCCGACCCCACGCAGAGCTGCAGCTCTCCATCCCCCCCAGGGTCGGGGGGGGGGACAAATCCGGGTGAGCTACGTGGAAATAAACCCTTCCCTACCCAGCACAGCTGCGTCGTCGCTCTGCCTTCCTGCTGCTCCAGCCCCGAGCCCCATGCCCAGCCCATTCCCAGTCCCCAGCACGGCAGGAGGGATGAATTGGGGTCAGCCCCCATGCCCAGC